AAAGTGCAGGGTTACGAGCAAGTGCAACATGAAGCAGCATCCTTGAAGCATCAGAATGCCGAATTGTCAAAGAAGCTTCTCGAGCTGGAAACTGCAAATGGCCGCCTTTCATGCGAACTGTTTGATGTCCAGGTGGGATGGGATATTGTCATTTGTGCTTACCACAAGTGCTCTTGAACCTTTTTCAACTCTGCATTGATGGGCCTGATGTGCAGGTGGAGTGCGCTCAATGGAAGGAACAGACTCAGAGGTTGAACAATGTAGAATGGTATGGACAATTCGCCCTTTGCAGCAGGTATCAACTTTCTACAATGTATTAATGTGCCTTGTTTTGTTCTCGCCCATTCAGGTCAAGGCGTCCGCCACTATACTATCGCAGGAGCGAGTACTAAATGGGCACTACTGTACGGCATGGATTTGAGCAGCCTCTACTTTTCTTGATGCACATCAGAGAGTATCTTACAGCTTGGTGTTGTAGGGGAATAATATCATACTGGACGATGGATGCATCCCAGGTTTCAACTCAATGCTGAATCAATGCAAATGATTTTAGGAGCCATTACCGAGTTGCGATGTGTTACATTATTGTTACAGATTCTTTCGAGAAGGTAGTCATTCTCAACCAACTGTGCTCATGCTTGAGCTCATACGACCAGCTCTGCCTCTCTTAGACACCTGAAGCACTGGCCGGATTTGTTACGATCTCTGGCATCTGCTTGTTTTGACGTTCTGTTAGATATTTCCTACTGAGCAGCGGAGCCGAGCGTCTTGGTCATACTTTTAACAAGAATGTCGTCGAATGTTTTCCATCTTGTACTTGTCTTTCGCCGCTTCGCGTCCGTGTGAACCCACAGCATCCACCATCTCTTCTCTCCGCCCGTCAAGCAACTCTGCCTGCATGGTTCTAGGATGCATCTTTTCCGCGAACCACCCCAAGCCCTTCCAACATACTCAGGAGGGCGAAATTACCCATTGGATCTTCTAATTACCCTAACTAGATCTTTGATTTGTCTCAGTAGTCCCGACGCAGACACCTATGCCAGCCAGAGTTTCAGGCATCGCAAGGACGACCAACGCGACAGCCTCCCTTTTCGTCACAACCTTTCTTTGCTCCTCCTCCTCCTCTTACTCGTGGTGGCCTGCCTGAGCGCGCCGGCAGCTGCCTTGTCCTGTGGGTCCACATTGGAGTGCAAGAATGGCGGTGTGTGTGTCAGGAACCGAACTGGCGACGACTTCTGTGACTGTCCAAACCCTCGTTCTGCTCTGGAACCCGAATTCTTCGTGTACGCTCTCACGTTACCCCTTCCCTCCTCTCCCACCCCCTCCTCCCCCCCTCCTTCCCCACTCCTCCCCCTTCCCACGCACTCGAATTCCATCCACGCATCTTCCCCCGCAAGCTCCCGTCATGTTCAGCCGGCCGTTGTCTAATCCCTAGCTCTTCTCTCATGTGCGTGGTTCTAGTCGTTGTCCTGTGACGCTTCCTACATCCCCTTTCCTTTCCCCAATTCCCTCCCTTCACTCCCTCGCTTCCACCCTTCCCTCCCCGTTCCCCCCTCCCTCCCTCTTCCTTTCCCTTCCCCTCCCTTCCCTCCGCTCCCTTCCTCCTCTCCCCCCCACACCCCCCTCCCTCCCTTCCCCCCCCCTCCTTTTTCCCTGCTCCCTGCCACCGGCAGCGGTACGGAGTGTGAGGTCCCAGCAGTCATGTGTGCGGACACAGACACCTTCTTCTGTGGCAACGGCGCGCAGTGCGTGGAGATAGTGCAGGGCGAGCAGTACTCCTGCGAGGGCTGCCCCTTGGGCTACGGAGGGCAGCACTGCGAATCCCGAGGGGTGCAGTGCGGTGACTCTGGGTTGCTGTGCTTTAACGGGGGGTCGTGTGGTCACAGTGGGACCAGCTGCGTGTGCCCCAGACAGTGGTCTGGGAACGCCAATTGCACGCTCTCGCTCTTTGACGGTGCGTTTTGAGGGGTGTGTTCCACAGGGAAGGGCGGAGGACGGGGAAAGGGGGGGAGAAAGAGGGGGACAGGGGGGGAGTGGTCACAATGGGACCAGTTGCGTGTGCCCCAGACAGTGGTCTGGGAATGCTAACCGCACGCTTTTGCTCTTTGATGGTGCGCGTGAGGGGAACCAGTGCTGGTGTGATTCACAGGGAAGGGCGGAGAGGGAGGGATGGGAGGAGAAAACGGGGGATAAGGGGGGCAAGCTGCGTGTGCCCCATCTATACCATCACATCACATCACATCACATCACATCACATCACATCACATCACATCACATCACATCACATCACATCACATCACATCACATCACATCACATCACATCACATCACATCACATCACATCACATCACATCACATCACATCACATCACATCACATCACATCACATCACATCACATCACATCACATCACATCACATCACATCACATCACATCACATCACATCACATCACATCACATCACATCACATCACTTCACTTCACATCACATCACATCACATCACATCACATCACATCACATCACATCACATCACATCACATCACATCACATCACATCACATCACATCACATCACATCACATCCCATCCCATCCCATCCCATCCCATCCCATCCCATCCCATCCCATCCCATCCCATCCCATCCCATCCCATCCCATCCCATCCCATCCCATCCCTTCCCATCCCAACCATCACATCCCATCCCATCCCATCCCATCCCATCCCATCCCATCCCATCCCATCCCATCCCATCCCATCCCACCTTCTCTTTCACCAACCCGACACCGATCCTTGCCCTTTCCCCCTCCCCCTCCTCCTCCCGTCTTGATCTCATATCCGGCGTGCTTCCTTCCCATGAACCCTCCAGCTTATCACCAGCAGGCATCACCGTATGGCTCCCAGACAGAGGAGGAGGACCAATCGGTGAGCACCTTGACCCCCCTCCCCCTGCTCTTCCTGACCCCGTCCCTCCTGTCCCTCTTCCTCCTCCTGCCCTTCTCCCTCCCACCTCTTCTTTGTGTGCAATGTGCATATCTCATTGCTCTCTCATGTCTCTGTTGTATACCAACTCCTTGCCCTTACCACTTTTCCGCTTGCTCTTCTTCAATCCCCTCCATTTCTCCCTCACCCCAGTGGTACGTGCCTGTGCTGGGAGCCTTTGGTGCGCTGGTGATGCTGTCGATCCTGGGCGTGTGGATCTACATCTGCTATGCGCACCAGGCCATGTCCTCCTTCTCGCACATTGCCGACCAGGTAAAGAGTGGGGAGAGGCACGGAAGAGTTTTTGGGGAGAGGCATGGTGGAGGCACGCAGGGATGCGTGGGGGGAGGCAGGGGGGAAGGCATGGGGAGGCAAAGGGGGGAGGAGCTGGGGGAAACGAAGGGTAAAGGCAAGGGGGGAGGTGAGGGGAGAATCAAGGCGAGTGTGAGTGGGGAGGCAAGTGGAGAGGTACAAGGGAGGGGAAGAGGCAAGCTGTGAAATATGAATGGGCAAGCGGAATCTGTGCAATCGTTACTTGTTGATTTTTTACTTGGGGGGAGGGGGGGGGGGACAGGAGAGTGCGATTGATAGTTACTCTCTGCTTTCCGTCCTTCCTGTCCACGTTTCTTCCCTTCCGCACCACTTCCCCCCTTCCCCCCATCTCCCCCACCCCTGTCCCCGCTTTCTCTCCGGCCTTTCCTGGAGCGTGTCTTAACTACAGGAGGAAAGCCGAGCACTACAGGATGATGTGGAGGAGAGGGAATTGGTCGAGCTAGATTCGCATGGGGAGGAGGACGAGGGCAGGTACAGTGATGAGGAGGATCGGGAGGCAGGGGGGGAGAGGAGGAGAGGGCGGCAAAGAAAACGGCACAGGCATTCTCGGCACCGTGATTATAACGAGGGGAGCGGCAGTCGTAGTAGCGACGAAAATGATGATTACGATGACGATGATGGCGGTGGTTATAATGATGATGATGGGGATGTTGATGATAAGCCGAACGATCATGGTCATGGGGGGTTTCGGAAGTACCGTGATCATCGTGGGGACAGTTACTATGATAATGGGGGTGGGAGCAAGGGTCACCATGATGAGGATGGGGGTGATTCGATGGAGGAGGCGAGTGAGGAGGAGGACATTGAAGAGGGGGAGAGGGTCCCTCTTCGGTGAGCAATGCTTGGTTGTGACGTAACGTGACGCATTGTGATATGGTATGATATGTATTCATATGATATGTTGCAGATTGATGTGATGTGATGTGAAGCACTTTGATATTTGCTGATTCTGCTCGCGCATTGAGGGGCATCCTTCATGACGCTCTTACGGTACAATGCAGCACTAGGGTGATGTGATCCCTCAGTACATAACATTGGTAATTAACCACAAAGTGGATGGAGGCATTAAGTTGATCATGATTCGTGCAAACTTGGATGCAATTCAGTGTAGCACACTATACTGCAATAAAAGTCGGAAGAAATTTGGAAGAGCTGATAAGGGTTTGTGATTGCAATGGATTTGAGGTACACATCTACATGTATGTATGCACAGATTCGCATGTGCAACACACGATCCGCATCAATACCGCACGCACCTCTCTTCTCGGACTCAAGTCGTGAGGCACACATATGGTATAACAAAGCACATCTCCCAAAACGGTGAACCACTGTGGAACATTCAATACGGTAGGTGAGAGCAGCAACGACAACAGCAGCAGGCAGCGGTTGCAACAGAGGCCACACACCAGCCGCTCAGTGAGACCCCTTGCACACTGCAGGCTCACTGAGGACAAAAGACGAAGGCCTTGACAAGCTGGCTTTAGTGGTACAGTACAGTCTCTTTTGACCTCGGTGGACACGTTACCAGCCCATTGCTGCACTGTTTGAGACCCCTTGAGCCTCAAAAGATGAAGGCTTTCACAAGCTGGCTGTAGTGGTAGTACGTCTCTCCTGACCTTGGGCATGTCACCAGCCCATTCCTGCACCTTTTGAGGCGACTTCTGAGGCGCTTCAAAAGACCTCAAAAGGCGCCTCAAAAGATGAAGGCTTTCACGAGCTGGCTGTAGTGGAACGTCTCTCCTGACCTTGGGCATGTCACCAGCCCATTGCTGCGCCGTGCCATTTCCTCCATGGCCTGTTGGGGATGGTGATGGCATGGTGAGGTCAGGTGGGCATGGCATGGCACGGCATGGCATGAAATATGACAAGACACCACGTGGTATAGATTATGGTGCGGTGTGGTGTGGTATGGTATGGTATGGTATGGTTTTGTATGGTATGGTATGGTATGGTATGGTATGGTATGGTATGGTATGGTATGGTATGGTATGGTATGGTATGGTATGGTACAGTACGGTCTGGTATGGTATGGTATGGTATGGTATGGTATGGTATGGTATGGTATGGTATGGTATGGTACGGTATGGTATGGTATGGTACGGTACGGTACGGTATGCTATGGTATGGTCCGGTATGGTATGGTATGGTATGGTATGGTATGGTATGGTATGGTATGGTATGGTATGGTATGGTATGGTATGGTATGGAATGGCATGGCATGGTATGATATGGTATTCTTCCCATCTTTTTCTCTCATCACCACCACCACCACCAACATTGTTTCCTCCCTCACCTGTTTGCTGTACACAAAGCCATAGGCCATAGGGCAGCACGAGCTGTGGGTTGTGGTAAAGATCCATACATCACCGGTATCCATTCTCACATTCAGTCTATCCCAAAACAGAGAAACATCTCACCTGCTTGCTGAACACGTATCCATTGGGCAGCACGAGCGGCGGGTTGTGGTAGTCCATGACTCACTGGGAGATGGCCCACATGACCCCCCTCTCCCCACTCACCTTCCTACTACTCCCTTTATACACCTCACCTGCTTGCTGTACACATAGCCGTTGGGTAGCACCAAGGGTGGGTTGTGATAGTCCATGACTCAGTGGGAGATGCGGCAGACGAATCCCCCTCTCACCTTCCTTCCATACCATACAGAGAAACGAAACTCCTTCTCTCCTTCGCCCCTCACCTGCTTGCTGTACACGTATCCATTGGGCAGCACCAAGGGCGGGTTGTGGTAGTCCATGACTCGGTGGGAGATGCGGCAGACGAGCTGGGAGTGGTTGCGCTTGGAGAGGGGCAGCGGCAAGGCGAGGTGGCGGAAGGAGGCGTGTGAGAGAGGGTCCGCCTTGGGACACCCGGGCTCGTAACTCAGCCTGGGGAGGGGGTGAGGCACCGGCGGAAAGGGGAAGGCAGGGGGGATGAAGGAAAAAAGAGGGCACAGGAGGGACGACGTTTGAGGCGCCTCAAAAGGGAGGCACCGAGGGAAAGGGGAAGGTAGGGGAAATGAAGGGAAAATGAGGGCCCAGGAAGGACGAGACCCCTGGGCTCGTGGCTCAGACTGAGGGGCGGAGCACGGGGGGAGGAGGGGAGGATAGGGGCAATAGCATGGCATGGCATGGCATGTCAGGAGCATATGGCATGGCAATGGCAGGAGCATCGGGCACAGACTGACATATCAGGATGTATCGGGCACAGAATGACATGCCATGCCAGGAGCATCGGGCACGGGATTCATGAGGTTTTGAGCACAGACAGACTGGCTTGCATGTAGACGTACAGCAGAGGGGATTGGGGCAGGAGGGGGGTGGGGCAGAGGGGGAAGGGAGGGGGGGGCAGTGGAGAGGGTGGGGCAGAGGAAAGGGGGGTTCAGAGGAAAGGAAGTGCAAACCAAGAGAGTGACTCACGGGGTTTTGAGCACTGAGAGTCCTGCTTGCATGTAGATGTGCAGAAGAGGGGGGTGTGGCAGGCCGTGCAGGTCACATGCAGTGCGGTGGAACAGCTGCTGTAGCGCGTCCCATTGTGACTCGGCAAAAAGGGCCTGCCCAGGGGAGGAAAGAGCCGACTAAAAAATTCCTGTGTGGTACGACTAAAAAAGTCACATGCAGTGCGGTGGAACAGTTGCAGTAGCAAACTCCTCTGTGACTGGGCAAAGAGGGCCTGGCAAGGGGATGGAATGTGCAGGAGAGAGAGGAGTGTGAGTCGTGACAGAGCAGCAGATGCTGTTGGGACTAGGGTCACACATGCCGTGCGGTGGGAAGAGTTGCTGTGGAAAACTCTACTGTGACTGGGCAAAGAGGGCTTGGAAAGGGGATAGAATGGAATGGACTAGGGTCACACATGCAGTGCAGTGGAAGAGTTCCTGTAGCGAAATCCCACTGTGACTGGCCAAAGAGGGTCTGGCAAGCAAGGGGATGGAGGAGACGGGAGGGAGATAGGTGGAGAGGAGAAGAGAGCGGGAGAGGAGAGGGAAGAGCAGTGGAATGGCGTGTGAAAGATTAGTAGCTGCTGCTGCTGCTGTTGGGACTAGGGAACCGAGGGCGGTCGAACAGGTGCTGTAGCGAGTCCCACTGTGGTGTGGCAGGGGGACAGTGGGTGGAGGAGAGGAATAACTTCATTCAGTTTCCGACCCAAAGTGGAGGAACTAAATGAAAATATTCTCTGGGATTATTTCTACCTTGTACTTGGGGGAGCATTGGATGGAGGAGGAGCGTAGCGGCCTCTGCATGACTAACAGAAAATACACTTGTGTAAGCAAGTCAGCTCAAGCTCAACTTAGAAAACAAACCGCTTCCTACCTTGTACTTGGGGCACGGCGTGGAGGAGCGGAGTGCGAGGGTGGCCAGAGCCTGCTGCAGCTGTGGCAGGTGCGACGCAGCGAAGGGGGCGAGGTGAGCGCGCGCATACCCCACTGCCTCTTTTAGCTGCCCCTGCCGCACCCTCTCTATAAACTCTTGCACTCGCAGCCGGAACTCCAGGTCACTCTGAGCGTGGGGAATGGGGGGTGAACGGGGAAGAGAGGGGTTTAGGTTAGGGGAATCAACGGGGTGAAATGAGAAAACGCAGCTGCCCCTTCCGCACCCTCTCTGTGAACTCCAGCACTTGCGGCCGGAACTCCAGGTCACTCTGCTGAATTTGGGGGAGAGGAAACGAAAGGGGGGACTCCAGGAGCTTCAGGGAGTCTCAGGGAGCCTGGGAGTCTCAGGGAGCCTGGGAGTCTCAGGGAGCCTGGGAGTCTCAGGGAGCCTGGGAGTCTCAGGGAGCCTGGGAGTCTCAGGGAGCCTTACCCTTAATTTGCTGGCAGGAAACACCAACCAGTGTATGCACGCTCAGGCTTCAGTCTCTAGGCATGTCCCCTGCCTGCACGTTCCGGTGCTTCAACCTGAATGAGAAGGCGTACCTTCAGACAGACCCCTCAAGCTAAGTCGCAACTGTAGCTCGACTCAAGCAGCCTCAGCAGCGGGTGTGGGAAGGTGAAGACGTTCATACCTTGAGACGCTTTAGGCGGGAGCGGTGCTGCGAGCACCAGTGCAGGGCGGGCGCACAGTCCTGCTGGTGCAGAGCCGCGGAGATGGTGAGCATGCTCTCATACACACCGCTGTCCACCCACTCCTGATGTCGGCAGGTAGTGAAGAGGCAGGGCCGGGAGTGGAGAGTGGGGGGGGCGGGTGAGGAGGAGAGTGAGGGAGAGAGAGCAGGAACGAAGGGGCAGGTAGTGGAACGAGGCAGGATGTGATTGGCAGTCTACTCAGCTCGCATCTTCACTCACATCCCCTTCCCCCCCCAGCAGCTTTCCGCGCGACTCACCTCACCTTCAAGTGCAACGCAGGGGGCATCTGTTCAGTCCACTAAAAAAAAAAAAAAAAAAAAAAAAAAAAAAAAAAAAAAAAAAAAAAAACGGAAAAAAAATCCACTAACGATATACATATATATATATATATTTAGTTTATTTAACAATATCACTTCGTTCAGGTCGATTCAAAAGTCTCACTTGCAACTCTAGCTCATGCGCCATCTTCCCAGCTGTCTCCAGATGCCCTTCCCTCAGCAGGTAATCAACCAGCACTCGCTGCAGCCGCTGCTGCTTCCACTCCTGCACCAACCGCTCCCTCACACCCCCCGCCCCCTCCCCCTCCCCCTCCCTGTCCCCTTCCCCATTCCCCGCACCTCCCCCGCTCCTCCCTGCTGCACCTTCTCCGCCTGCTGCTCCTGCTCCTCCCGTTCCTGTTGCTGCCAAAGCAGCAGCTCCAGTTCCTTCCATTGGCCAAGACGCGCTTATAGCACCAGCAACACCAGCAGCACCAACTGCACCTGCTGCGGCAGCGGCAGTGGCAGTGGCAGTGGCAGCAGTTGTGGTGACACCAATTTTCCCATCCCTCGCTCCTGCTCCTGCTCCTGCTCCTGCTCCTGATGCAACGAGTGCTGACGTGGCTTGCAGGCGAGTACGCAGGTGGGTCATGTGCTGCTGCTGCTGGGCAAAGGAGACGTTGATCTGGGGAGATAGGGGAAGTAGGGGAGAGGGGTAAGGGAGGCAGAGGGAGACAGGCAGGGAGGCAGAGGGAGGTAGGGAGGCGGAGGGAGGTAGGGAGGCAGAGGGAGGTAGGGAGGCAGAGGGAGGCAGGCAGGGAGTCAGAGAGGGAGGTTGGGAGGAAGGGTGAGGTAGGGACGCAGAGGAGCAACAAAGGAGCACCGGAAATTCTGTGCATGAATCACGACCTTGATCTGGTTGTCTGGCTGGTGAAGGAGGTCAGTGGAGCACACGGGCCAGGAAAATGAGAGGAGAGGAGAGGACGGAAGGGTGATGGCGAGGCGAGCCCGCGGGCGGCTGCTTATGTGGTCCTCTCCGCAGAACGCAGCTGAACTAACTTGCAAGGTTGCAGTTATTTATTAGAAATTCAAGAAATTTGAGCTGTGGAGCTGCTGCAGCTGCTGGGGGGAGGAGAGGCTAATTCAGCAATTACAGGTATGAAGAGGCCGGGGGAATTCGACAGAGAGGGGAATAACGAACAAGAAAGGCTTTACCTTGCTCTTCAATTCCTGTACACGATTCAGAAGCGCCCCAACGACTTCCGCAGCCTTCGCTACAGTCACATCCCCTTGTTGACCTCCGTGTGCTAGTACCAACTCCGCCTGATTCACCGATCCATGTGCGTCCAATTCGCGCGCAGCAGCCACCAGCGCTGCGACCTCGCGCTCCGACTCCTTCGCGCCGTGTCGCACGGACGCTTTAATCTCCTCCAGCGGCACGCGGAACAGCTGCTGCTCGAGCTTTAACACGTCCGCGACTGGGTCGTGGTGCCGAACAGCGGAACCCCCGCCGCCGCCGCCGCCGCCGCCGGTTCCGCCAGTAGTGGCGCTGGCGGTGCGGGTGCGAGCAGACGAAGCGCCGCCGCCGTTTGTAGCCATCATGTGATCTTCGTCCATGAGTTTGGGTTAGGCCTGAGGGATAGCGTGAAAGTAAAGAGGTGGTTTAAAACCGGAGGTCCAAGAGTTTCCAAGTTAGGAAGGTTGAAAGGGGAGAGAAAGGTGACTGGCTCGCGAGCCAGGGTGGTGTCGAAATTGGTGGTCTGGGGTCATTAAGGAAGAAAATTTCGCGAAAATAACCAGACCTGGAATGCAACATCAGAACTGGTTCACGGACAGTTTCGGACGGGTTTCAAATTTGTTGGCGAAATCATCACTGCTTTCGTCCTCGCTAGAACAGTAGTTTCGCGTGACGAAAATTGTCCCCCCGATTTGCGAAGTGAGTCGTACCTACTGCGTCACCCCTTCTCAAAGTTAGGAAGGTTGAGGCACTTAGGGGCTGTTTGGGACTCCGGTTTTAACGGTCAACGAGAAAGTATGGCGAATACGTGAAGCGTAAGGGGCTAATGAGGGGGCTAGATGCCAGTGAGGATCAAAGTTGCTATGGTTTGGTAAACTGTCTTTCCGTGTTATGTGTGTAATGTTAGTGCTGCAATTTCAGCCCATCCACCAGTTTAGCTTAAAAACTAGTACAATATAGTTTCACAGAGTATGCCAAGTTGGTGGTCCTCCTAACCTTAAAAATAGTTATCCCTATTCTTACATCCATCCGAAATTGTGGGGGTTCCATTCATCTCCTTTTCATCTCTACTTGCATAACAAACAGCATAAATCTAATATAAGTGAACATTATCATACAAGAATTACATCTGAAGTATGCCCATGAATGTCATTTTAGAGTAAATTAGGGTCGTGAAGCTTAAACACTACTTGTTAAAGGTTTGACATGTCCTCCAGGTAGGGTATTAAGCGGTGTGGATGTACCTCTTTATGCTGAACGCGAGTCACTGTCTGAAAGCAAACCCCGACGCCACGTCTTCGCATCGACCAAGCTTTGAACTTCTCACAGTCGTCCATTTTTGCCAGAAAATCTTCTCGTGGATGACTCTGCAGAACCGGGTTACTGTCGTGAATTTTATCGCAACCCCGACGCTGATTGCACAGTGCTAATCGCACGCTTTGTTCTGTGATGCAGCGGTCAAAACCAGCGTGCATATCAAGGCCCTCGCATATCACAGAATGTCGCCGAGCCCTCGCATTCTGGACTGAACCTCCTTTCTGCCCCAAGTCTTCCTAGGTACTGAACCCCGACCAAAGCCTTCCAAAGTTTTTCCAGGAGATTCTTCTCGTGGGCCCACGAGAGGCAATTCCGCAGGGTCCCCTTTCCGCTCCCCCTTCTAACCCTCCCATTTCTTCCTCGCCCTCCCCCTCTCCCTCCCTCCCTCTCCCGCTATCTCCCTACTGTATCACACACAGCCTACCTTGCAACCGCCTCCACTCATAGCTACACTCCCCCCCGTCCTTGAAACCAAGCCGAGTTGTTGGCTTAGTGCTGGTTGTGTGCCATTATACTTGGGTCTTACACCTCGCTTATTTCCTCTGCTCGAGGTACTGTTGTGATCCGGCCAGCTTGCCGTGGTCTTGAGGTACTTGTACGTGTTAGCGAGCTGTGGTGATAGACTTACCCTGGTCGTACAAGGGAAGCGTGATTGCAACAATTGCGCTTGAACGGGAATTGCTGGCGTTTTTAGTTGCTCCTCGTGGTCTGAAGAGCTTCATGGAGAGACCAGAAGCAGATGGTCGACCAGAAAAGCGCCTAAAGTTAGGCGATCCATACCGTGACGATGTAAGCGTTTTGTGCGTTCGTAAAAAACTACTTGTGTCATGGCCTTGTATGGCACTACTGAAGCGGTCATTCTTTTAACGCATCTGTTTTCAGATACATGCTGGACCGAGTTCCCGAGATGGTGTCTACTATGCTGCGACCATGCCTTCATTCGTTTCAAGGTTGCTTCCACCGGCGTCTCTTCATTTAGCACCTCTAGTGCCCACTACGTCCGCCGCGCTTCCGCTTCCTCCTCCTACAGCTTCCGGAAATTTCATCACACCAAGCAGTCATGCGGTTTCACCTCCCTGGAGACCAGACGACAAGGACGGTCACTACGTCTTTGATCTTGGGGAAAACCTGACTCCCAGATGTGAGGCTCTCGCCATTTTCTTTTTTTGTTCGGATTCCCCTGTGGCCTGGCTAACATCGTCTGTTCACTTGTGGTGCTGCGTACAACAGATAAAATCTTGAGCAAACTCGGAGAAGGTACTTATTTGCGCGTTTCTATTTTAACTCGCTTTTATCATTTAGCGCGCCCGTGAACGATTGTTACCGATGCGTCTTCCTTCGACAGGGACTTTCGGAAGAGTTTTGGAATGCTGGGATCGCCAAATGCAGCAGTATGTCGCAATCAAGGTGATAAGGAATGTACAGAAATATCGCGATGCAGCAATGATCGAGATTGATGTGTTGACAACTCTGGCAAAGCATGACAAGTTTGGTCAGCGGTATGTATTTATGTGAAAACGTCGTCTTTGCGTGCATTGTTGTTGATGGTTGATGGCTTACATTCCGGATCGTCTTTGCAGGGGCTGCGTGGAGCTGAAGGGCTGGTTCGACTACAGAGATCATGTCTGCATAGTAAGTTATCGTTGCTCCATTCGCTCCGCCGGTTCGTGATCGCAGGATTGTTCAGTAATCATCTTCCGTTGTGATCACACTGCGTTTAATGATCAGGTGTTTGAGAAGCTCGGCCCAAGTCTATACGATTTTTTGAGGAAGAACAGTTATCGGCCATTTTCTGTGGACGTGGCGAGGGAGTTTTCCAGGCAATTGCTGGAGTCAGTTGCGTGTAAGTCTTATTGGCAGTTCTTAAATTCTAAGAATCCATGGGTGCGGGCCTACCTATTGAGGATTTTTTGTTTTTCGTGTGCATGAAGCGACTCCATGCAAGTATTGCGTTTGATTCCGCGACGCTTTTGTGTCCAGTATTTCATTATGCTCTTCTACGCCGTCCTCCTTTTTCCTGCGTGTGTCGTTCTGCTCCATGTCTTTTTGTATCCGTTTTGGCCTACCAAGTCCATTAACTCTCCTGCTTCCCTCTCTTCTACGTCCCCCCCCCCCCCATTTCGAAACCCGATCTTCCAGTTATGCATGAGCTAACGCTGATTCACACGGATTTGAAGCCTGAAAACATTTTGTTGGTTTCGTCAGAGTACGAGAAGGTTCCCGATTACAGGGTAAACTTTCGGATTTCTTACAATCCATCATCGCCTAGGAGCTGTCAGTCTTCATGCGGACTTTTTTCTTGCTCTTTGCAGAGCGCAACCCAGCCAAGCTCCCAAAGTCGGCATCACATGAGAAGAGTACCTGTCTCCAGTGAGATCAGGGTCATTGACTTCGGAAGTGCAACGTTTGATTCACACTACCATTGTTCCATTGTTTCCACTCGGCATTACAGAGCTCCAGAAGTGATTCTTGGTAAGACAGTAGTCCTGGTTTGCTGCACAAGTCGCCTTTCACGCCTGAAGCTTGTTTACTCACATGGTGTGATTGACCTGCAGGGACTGGGTGGTCATATCCATGCGACATCTGGAGTGCAGGTTGCATCATTGTCGAGCTTGTCACGGTAAGATTTCAACTGTATTCAATGTGGCATTCAGTGCATGCCTTATGTTCCTTGTGGCCCTCATTACATGGCTCTCGTTCTCCTATGTTTCTGTATCAGGGTGAGGCGTTGTTTCAAACACATGAGAATCTTGAGCACCTTGCCATGATGGAAAGACTGCTGGGTCCAATTTCTCCACACATCATCAAGAAGGCCGAGTGAGTATGATCTCAAATTATTTCGGCACCCCATATCTTGGACTTGCTAGTTACCCACCTTTGACCTTCTATCGTTTCTTGGGCAGCCGACGAGCTGAGAAGTACTTTAGAAATGGAAGAGAACTTAATTGGCCTGAGGGTGCTGCTTCACGTGAAAGCATTCGGGCGGTCCGAAAGCTTCCCCGACTAAGAGTGAGTTTTCTCCATTCTGTAGTTAAAGTGCACGACTAGCATCTCCAACCTGAGTGCCACAGCAATTTGTACCTCCCCCCTCCCGTCTACTATTTTTTCTTGAGAGGCTATTGCAAGTTGTAAGCCTTCGTTACTATTGGACGTTTTGCAGGATTTGATTATGCAATGTGTGGAGCATTCAGCCGGCACACTCATTGACCTGCTCTACTCGCTCTTGAAGTTTGACCCTGCACAACGGCTCACAGCTCGAGAGGCGTTGAAACACCCGTTTTTCCGGGAGCCAAGCCGCTTCCTGCGGTAAGGAAAGGACTGAAGCAAAGCATTCCCTTCCCAGCTCAGAGGGAATGCACCCACTCAGCCAAAAAAACCTTAGATCTGTTGGAAGGCAATTTGTCCACAACTGTAGGCTTAGATTGTAGTTTTAGATGCACAACCTTGCAGTTGTAGCCTCAATGTGGCTTAGCTGCAGTGCTGCCCTAGTAGGGTGGTTTAAATGAGCAGGAAAAGTCATTTCCTGTTCATATCTGTAGATATTGTAGTGATGAGAGGGGTTGAGATATTCACCATGAAATCTAAAACCTTGTATAAGAAAAACTGATTTGTTGAATGGCCATACCTAAGAGCCTTTGTCAGCAACCGATCTATGGGTTTCCAGAAAGAATAGGCAAACACAAGAGAACATACGGTACCACAGTAACAGTAACAAATACCAAGCTGGTTACTACATAAGATCACGTTGCAGGTCGCGTAGGGCTTCATGACATGGTTTAGTGCTGCAAGGAACCAGCAAAAGAAGAATCAGACTTGCTTCCAGCTGAGATGCAGTAACAACATCACATCACATGTCATGTATTTCCATAACTTACAGCTGCTGCTTCAGTTGCTGCTGGTGCCGCCTCCTGAGAAGGCTCGGCCTTCTTCCCCCCCGAAAAAGCCCGGTAAGCACCATAGAAGACAAGGCCCCAACCTCCTAGAGAAACAAACACGAACTGCGCATTGGCACAAAAGAACGAATGTAGTCAGGAAGAAAGATGCAGGACAACAGTGACACGAAAAGCAGGGTGCATTCGTGTGGAGAGATCTCGGATGAGAGGGAAACGTACGTGCTCCTCCTTCCACCTCCCCGGGTTGAGTGGATCTTCCCAGATGTTCACCCTCTTGTGACCATGATGATCTGAGGCAGAAAGCAGGTGGTTCACACCACAAGTATGGACAAGAGGAGATGGCGAACGAATCAATGTGCGACCAAACTAGCAGAAACAGAGCATGCTGTGACATGCTAATGACTCATGCCCATGCTGGTGCCAAGCTAATGACGCATGCGCGGATGGTGGTACTAAGAATCGACTCGTGTTCGTGCTGGTACCAAGCTGGTTTGTATGTGGTACGTTGGTGGTGTTCCGTGATCTCAATGATTTCCTTTCTTTTACAACAAGCTGACGCAGCAAGCCCGCAAACGCGGTGAGGCTGACGAGGAACCATCAACCGCGGACGCACCAACGGAGGCGGATCGAGTCCAGAAATTTTAAGCCACGGCAATAGTACCTGCGGCAAAGCCCCTGGTCTGCAGGCGAATGCCTGCGGGAAGCGGAGGCGCGACCGACAGGCGGAGGCGCTGCGCGGCGGAACGGGCGAGAGCGTGCGCCATTGGTGGAACGAGGCGGAGCGAGGCGTGTGCGAGGGAGCGGGCGAGGGTGAGAGGTGGTTGATGGACAACGGATGGATCGGGTGGATCGGGGGGAGCAGATCGCAGATCCGCAGAAACCGCCGCCTAGTTGCCTGACTGAAGCAGACTAACAAATAACGACGTCGGACAAGGTCGCCCTAGGGAAGTGGAAGTGCTGTAGAGAGGAGCAAGGGGGGCAAGAGCAGCTGTTGCGAAGGAAGCACGGAGGAGTGTGGCGATTACGGGGAAAGGGGGAAAGCGGGGGGCAAGGCTGTGGGGGGGAAAGGGGGAAGGAGCAAACACCAGGCATGATTGTGGGACTCTGAGTTACGCGCTGACTCGCTTGCGGCTACAGAATTTTCTTATGAGTGATAGAACTAGTTCATCTTTAACAGAATTCATTGCATATCGTACCTACCTATCCTAACTCTGTACAATGCTCAAGCTAGTGGAGAATTCGCTGCTATGCCTAACCTGTTTCAAATCCTTATAATTTTCTCTTTCAGCCTACATTACCTTATCTCAAACAAACGCCCATATGTTTCTTCCATAATTTCTCCTCACGATGACCTCAGGGATTGCCCATTAACAACCTTTTTCCACATTAACTCCAATCTGGCAACTGCCAAAACATCAGAACACGTGCTTGACACTGCACTATCATACGCCACCACCGTCAATCACCCTCTGGATGGACATGATGATGCCCAATGGCCTTCCACTCCACACTTGTAGCATGGTCCTGCACCACCACCTGAACGCCCACCTGAAGCAGCACCTGAACGTGGAATCATACCTGGGCTTGAAAACGATCCGGAACGTGCACCAAATCCATAATTTGGCATGCTGCTGTTTCCGCTGGCACTGTTACCGTAACTGGTGGTGGTGTTGGGAGCAGCACCGTTGGGGCTGACGTAATGGCGTTGAGAGGAGGTAGGGTTTGATGCCGTGTCATCACACCATTTAAAGAATCCGCAAGGCTGCCAAGGAGAGAAGAAAAGGAAGAGCAAGCACGGAGGAATGGTGGAGGGAGAAGCGGAGAAAGGGGAAGAGAAAGAGGGAGAGAAAAAAAGGAGGGGGGAGGGGAAGGGAAGTGGGGGGTCAGGGTGAGAGACAGCAATTCACAGTGATGGCCAGAAAGCGAATGCATCCTATGTTCCCCACATCCCACTCTGACCTCGGGTTTGGGGCACTTGAAGAACTGCCGGCCATTGTTAGCTGCAGTGCGTGCAGTCAGAACCAGACACTGCCCGCCGCCACACGCACACTCCATTGCCCCTGCTGCTGCTGCTGCTCCTCCTGACCCCATTCCCCCTTGCCCCATTGAACCCCGCCCCATTCCTCCTGCTGCTGACCCCCCTGATCCCCCTCCCATGGCCGCTTGCCCCCCTCCTCCCCCTGCGCCACCCCAGCCTGCGCCCATCCCCCCTGTCCCCATGGTCCCAGAACCACCCCAGCTGGCCCTCCGGCCTTGTGCTGCGGCGCCTGAAGCTGAAAGCAATGGTGATGGGGATGAGGAGTAAGAAGGGAGGGAGTGCTGGCGAGAGGGTGCAGAGGCGGTCGTGTTTGCAGCCGCATCACACCACTCGAAGAAACCGCATGAGGCGTCCTAGAAAGGGAGAGGGAGGAGCAAAAGGAATCCACACAACAGGAAACGGTTGTACTTGCCAAGGCTAGCAGCGGGAATATGGTGTATGCCACGATATGTGAAGGGTGGAACAAGTTCCCAAGGACAAAGCCACCAACAGAAGACATGCCAAGTCAACCAATGAGCCGTTGGGCATCAAGTGGGCTCTTGCAGAACCCAGACCACTGATGATCGTTCCAGACCACTAGCTTTCTCGGCTACACGGGAAGCAACCTCTGCCATATACATGTTATATTACCTTATTGGGGCATCGGTAGAACTGTCTTCCCATGTTCCTCTCCGTTCGCGCAGTCAGCACAGCACACCTCCCAGCGCCACATGCACAGAACCGATCCGGCACGTCACCACCGCCACTCCCACCATCAAATTCCCCCCCTCCTGCAGCAGATGCACCTGCGCTCCACCCCCCTCCTCCGCTGCTCCCCCTGCTAGAAAGCCCCGCCCCAGAGCCAGCTTTCCATGAACCTGCTGGGGTACTGGCAAAACTTCCGCCACCAGAATGCGGGGTGCCGGTAATATTAGGGCAGTCTCGTGACCAATGGCCGAGCTGCCCGCATTTGAAACATTCGCCCGATTTGGTACCTCCACCAGCGTTGCTCCCCCCCTGGCCCCCTCCCCAACTCACGGCTCCATACCCGCTGCTTATTTCTTCCCCGTTGAAGTTTCCCCCACCTGCGCCAGGTCCTGCACCTCTTCCGCTAGATGCGCCTGCTGCGCGCCCCCCCCCGCCTCTTCCGCGGCCCCTCCCTCTCCCCGCGCCCTTGGGGTTGAACTCCGCCTCGATGGCGCGCCATCGCCCGCTGTTGCGCCCGCGCAGAGCCGCGAGGTAGTCTCCCTCGTCTTCTTCATCCCCCTGATGGTCGTTCCCGCCAGCCTGGTGGTTTTCCGCGGCACCTGCGCTGTAACCGTTTCCGCCGGAGTGGTACTGGCTCCACGCGGGAGCAAGGTGGTCGCGGGCTCGCTTCTGGCCTGTAAGGGTTGCTGTTGAAGCGGTAGATCCGTACATGACGGAAGTTCCTCGGGATAGTAATGAGTGGCAGCGAATGCAGGTCTAGATGTAGTTTGAGCGAGTAAATGGGGAGGTTCGAGTACTAGACTTTGCAGGTCGGCAACTGAATAAGGGGGAATACGGAGAAATGTTAGAATCTGTAGCCGCGGATCATGGATAAACTCGGGAAAAAGCTCCACCACATGCCATGACCAGGCATGGTCAAACTTTACCAGGTGAGGGCTAAACACAACCAGATGCCACTTTTCCACTCGGTTCCAAACCAGCCGATAAGAGAGGGAGCGAGTAAGTCGAGATGAGCTAATGCCAAGAGAGGGTGGTCAGAACGGAAATGATGGAGGTGGAAAATTGTCAGTGAATTGAAGCTGCGGAGTCAGTGTGAGCTCCTCATTCAGTTATGGGCGAGTCCCGCCAGTTCTGTCTCTGATCATACAGTGCGGTTCAGTAAATACTTCTCACGGTAACCAGCAGTCAATGCTTGTTGCCGCTTTGGATCGCAACGCACCATTCAAAACCGTTGTTCTTGGATTGAACATGAAGTCCATGAAATGGAGGGGGGGTACTGTAAAGAAACTTCAAATTCAAATCGAAGCATCAGTCTCACGCTTCTTCGCGAAAGCATAATGTAACACAATGTTTTCTTCCCACTCACTAGGATAACCATCAAGCTTGCCTTACCATTTATAGGGTTCAGTAGCCAGCCCTCCGTGTAATTTTCTTGAAAAATAATAATATTGAATCAAATAATCCCAAAATTTATAAATTTGCACACTTATTTCTGAAGTAGTAGTTTCTGGATTACGGTATGCGTGTTTGAATTTCGTTTCGAATGTGGACGATACTACACTGTTTTTTTTTTATAATTGAAAGTATATACAGAGTGTACAAGCATATACTGACAAGAACGGTCGTAACCGTGCGTGAGGAACTAGGGGGAACCCCTTGCTCCAGATAAGATTCTAGGGCCGAGTGTTATTGGCCCTCCGTGCCGACCATAATGCTGCAAAGCCACTCTTCCACCTTCCCTTGCCAACCTCCCTGATTTTCCCAAGCATGTTCCGCTCCTCCGATGAATCCTGCTGCCTCCGCTTCTGCCACGTTGGCCTCGATCTGTGGGTGTACAGTCTCACATGCTGCCGAAATGCCACCTCAATCCGTCTCAAGACTCGTTGTGTCCGAAACTTTTGCCCCCTGAAGACCGCTTCACACCGCTCGAGCCATAATTGGTGCAAAGTGATTGATATCAACGTCAGCTCCGGAAAAGCTGAGCTGGTTCCAGCCTCCTGAAACAGAAGATCACCCAGCGTGACTGTCGTGCGGCTGGGATTTAGCATGCCCAGAGCGCGCCGAAGGGCCCCGGAAACCATCTGGATCTTGGGGCAGAGGACCAGGCAGTGCTCCAAAGTCTCAGTTTCCCCGCAATAAGGGCACACCGGCTTGCTGCTGAGGAACGCCAGTCTCTCCCCCACTTGCAGATTCAGACCGTGAATTCTGGTAAGCACATCACGTGGACGGTTAGGAACCGCCAGCGAGTCTCGCGTGTTCACAGCCCGTTTCCAATCAATGACACCACCCCAGCGTGCCGCCCATTTTGCACGCTTGTAGGACTCCTTCCGGGCCTCTACCCAACCCTCCTTCATCTTCTTCAAGGGAATTATGTGCCCCTCCTCCAGGATCACCAGTTGCTGAAGCGAGTCAGCCGAACAGGGGAGTACGGTCGGAAAGCCTAACTCTCTGCACCACCTAGCTGGTATCGACCCCACAGCTTTCAGTGCCAGCTTCGCCGGGCCACTGCTGCCCAGGAGTGCCGTTAGCTCTGCAACCGACTTCTGCAATAGCACCCCATCCTCACTTCGTGAGAATAAATCCCCAAGCCGCAGGTCCCATAGCTTCTTGGCATCCTTTTGTCCCCCGATCGGAGTGGTCCCGCGCATCAGTATGTTTTTGTTAAAAACAACCCGCTCCTGCAGGATCTCCTCTCTCGTTCAGGCTGGACCACGTAGACACAGCGGCGAGCCGGAGAGGCTTTCACACGTCTGCTTCCAGCGGACACTTCCGCCTTCCCAGTTTTTGAAGAGCTTTTCATGGGCCCCAAACGAGTCGACGCCCAGAGGAAGCTTCGCCGCCCGCTCCATCAAATCTTTCTTTAAGCAGTTATTTTCCGTGACGTATAGTCCCGCCCTTCTCGCCGCCAGACAGGTGATAACAATCTCCGGGTCTCTAACTCCAATTCCGCCCGCCTCTCTCGTCGTGTATAGCAGAACTTTGATCCAGAGAAAGAAACCTTTCGCCGCTGATACTCTGTTGCCAGATAAGAAACCATGCAGCATGCGCACCAAGTCCTCCCAGACCTCTGCAGGCGGCGGGTAGACTTGAGCTTGGAACGCGATCAACGGAGTAATGTAAAAATTCACCACCGATGCACGCGCCGCCGTCGTCAGGTACTTCTGCTTCCATTTCACCAGCTTTTCAGCGACGCGACCGATTGCCTTCTCCCATGTCGCTTGCCCATCCCCCGAGGGAGACACCCATACCCCCAGCAGGCGTTCAGCATCATTTGCACCGGCCCATTTGAAGTCAGACGAGCCGTCCGCCGCCTCTCCGATATTAATCCCCAGAGGTAACACCACGGATTTCCCTTTGTTTGTTGCCAGACCTGCTGCTTTTTCGAAATTGTCCAAAATCACTTCCGCCTTAACAATTTGCTTTTTCCCATGCAGAATGAGCGTCGTATCATCAGCGTAGCCGAGGTAGCTCAGCTGCTGCCCATCCTTGTCAAGCCCCAGCTTTGCCTTCTCCACCTCCTGAGCCAAAGGCTCCACCGCACACAGGAAGAGGTAAGGGGCAAGAGGGCATCCCTGCCGCACCCCCGAGACCACATTTAGTCCTCCCCCGAGCCAGCCGTTAACCAACAGCTTCGTCGTGGTGTTTTCATGCAGGCCCTCAATCCAGCCAACGTATCGCTCCGGAAACCCCATTTTTCGAAGCACCTGGAAGAGAAAATCTCTTGACACCGAGTCAAAGGCCTTCTGGAAATCAACCAATAGCATGTACCAGTCCATCTTCTCGTTTCTCGCCACATCAATGACGTCAGCCACCAGCGCGACCGCGTCAGACAGTCGCTTCCCCGGGATAAAACCGTACTGCTCCGGTGAGATGACCTGATGCAGCACCCGCTTCATTCTGTCCGCCATTACTTTTGCCAGCACCTTATATGTGAAATTGAGGAGCGTGATGGGCCTGTAGTTAGTTAACTGGGCGTGATACTACACTGTGTTAACGATTTGCCTAAAATGTGTACTTACTGAAACAGCGTCTTTTTCAAGAAGCCTGGTTCAGGAACTTGTGACATAATCCAAAAGCTCTGCCAAGCCCAGCTTCCCGAGCTGCAGCCACTTATACTGAATTCAGCGCCTTGTTATCCTAGTCCTGAGCTCTAGCACCTTGTTGCGTCACTGGAAGAATGACCAAACTTCGAAAGCTAAGCTGCTTCCAGGATGTCCTGAACACCCTTGAGGGCATTCGAGACTCTGAATACGATGCTAAGATCTATCGGACTCATTGCCACGAATTTGGTAGCTATGCACGGAAATTCGAAAGCATTCTTGAAACAGCAGTTGTGGTCTGCCCTGATGCTGTCAATGCATTCTCCAAGAGGTATTTCGTTCAACTTTCATGAGCTTGTAACTTGGCACACTTGGTGCTGACGGATGACTTGTCTGGCAGCGACGAAATGAGAGCGCTTTCTTTCACCCTTCGTGATGGTCTTCTGCTGATGAGAAAGTGCGCTAAGTCTAACGTGTTGTTCAAGTTAATGAATCGAGGAGAGCTGAAACACGAAATGGAGGCTCTTATAGCATTGCTTCGTCAAGACTGCAATACGGTACGTTGGATTGTTGCTTTATATTTCCTAAACGCCTTGTTGACCTGTTGGCGTTCACAGGCTGAAAATAAGTTGAGATCACTCGCGGCGGTGGAAAGCGCCAAACAAGCAACGTGAATGCTCTTTCCCGTGCCACGTGAACTTGCTCGAGCTAGAGCTTGATGAGTACCATGCCTGGAGAGTATCAATCCGTTAGTACAAACAAAACCGTCAGACTCAGCCACTGCCATTCGTATCTGGCTCTCGTGACATTTTTATGGGCAATAAGCAATAAGTCACCCTAACAATCTCCCCCTTCCTGCTGATGTCTTGGTTTCTACCAATCGCACTGCTCAATCAAGAAGATGCAAGAGCTTGAACTACCGGTACTGTGCCATGTGACTCTCCATAGTTTGGAGCCTCTACAAACCCTTTGTTCATATATACTGAAAGCATCAACATTCAGCAGCCCAAACTAAGACCTGATTGGTTCCTGAATATGGTGGAAGCTGAAAACTGGAGAGTACAAAAGTTGGAAGGATGGTTCCATCATTGCCAGTTGTTATCGCTAGAGGGTGCTGATGGTACCATCATGGAAGGATCAATTGAGCCAGGACTTACCAACGCATTCCATCCCATAAGATGTGGCAAGATGAACTGCAACAAAGTGGGGGTGGGTCAGGGGGGGGGGTGTGGGTGGGTGGGGGGTTGAGTAGTTGTCAAGCAATTGTGCAGTGAGAAATGGGGGCCAACCGTACAGATGGGAACGGGGTTTGGGGGGGAAGGGGGAGGGAGGGCACAACGGTGTCACAATCCACCACAAGGGAGGCCAAAAGCCTGAGCTAGCTGGCATGTAGACAGGGGCAAAAAACCACGACCATTGGAATATAGAAAGGAGACTACTAGAGCATACATAGACATGGAAAAACACACACAGGTCACCCTGGCAGGATTGAAATGTCAACATTGGGGCATTCATAATCTTCAAGAACAAAGAGAGTGAGAGAACTTAGAATGAACACTGTGGATTCTTTTTAAATGCAAAATTGACTTTCTCAGTACCAGGAATTAACTCAAATGAACGGTTTGATTAGTACTCACCAGGAGAGAAAATGTTTCATTGCCTTTCACTCACATTCATGGCGCTTCGGACCACAATGAATTCCGCCTTGGTGACAGGCACAGAAAAACGATCATCAACACCCCTGCGAGCGTCCTTCACATCTGCAATCAACGCCCATTCGAATACATGCATACACAGACACACATTGCAAACACATGCACGCAATCATGAATTTGAAATAAGTGCCAGGGTTTACATGAAAGGGAGTTACATGAAGCAAAGCACATGAAATCACCTGTGAGTGTGTCCATTGAAAAGAACGAGCAGCAAATTACGTCAGGAAAGACCGAGTGCGACAAACACCCGCGTGTGCGTGCACGCACGAACACACACACACACACACAGGGAGTTCATGAAGGATTTGAGGAATTGAATGATGAGCAGCACCGTTCAGTGCTCAGCAGGCAAAGGTGAGTGGTGTAAACAGTGGAAGAGAGGCAGGCACGCACTGAGACTGAAGTAAAAGCCAGTGAAGTCATTGAATGGCTGGATACGCAGCACCTTCTGCACCTGACCCTCTTCACTGGTGGGAGCAGAGTGTGGGGTGGGGAGAGAGGAGAGAGAGAGAGAGAGAGAGAGAGAGAGAGAGAGAGAGAGAGTGAGAGAGGAAGAGATGAAGCGCAGAGAGAAAGTCAGAGGAACAACATGTCTGCAGTAAGTTATCCCACATAACAATTTCAGTAAATAGAGATAAACATGAGATGGATTAACTATGGGCGATTGAGGCAACTCGAATTCCCTCCCCTCCCCTCCCCTCCCCTCCCCTCCCCTCCCCCTCCCCCCCCCCGCCCCTCCACCCGCGCCTCACCTCCTGCCCTTGGAGGCATCATGGTAAAAGTCCAGCTTGTCCTCAGGGTTCACTCCCAGCACTGACCCGATCTCCAATGCAGGCTTCTGTCCCCCCTAGCCCATCCCCCACCTCGCTTCACCTCGCTTCACCTCATCTCACCTCCTGCCCTTGGAGGGGTCGTGATAGAAGTCAAGCTTGTCCTCTGGGTTCAGCCCCAGCACTGACCCGACCCGATCTCTGGTGCAGGCTTCTGTGTGCCCCCTGGCCCATCCCCCACCTAAATTCTTCCCCCCTCCGCGCCCCTCGCCTCCCCCCCTTGCCTCACCTCCTGCCCTTGGAAGGATCGTGATAGAAATCAAGCTTGTCTTCTGGGTTCAGCCCCAGCACTGACCCGATCTCTGCCACTGACAGGGAGAAATTCTGCAGGGTGGGGGAGAGAGAGGGGAGAGGGTAGGAGGGGGGCAGGAGCGGGGGCTTCTGCGGCGTCTCACCAGCCACAGCACTGACCCAATCTCTGACACTGATGGAGAAATTGTGCAGGGGGGAAGGGAGGGAGGGGGGAGGGAAGAAGGGTGGGAGGAGTGGAGTGGAGAGTGGGAAGAATAGAACTCACAAGCCCCAGCACTGACCCCAGCACCCCGTACGCACCTGCTTGTTGTCCCAGTCATATTTCCGTGTGCCAATGGCATTGGCAAAGTTGAGCAGCACAGAGCCCTCGCGGGTCAACGCGTATGCACCCGTCTGGACAAGCGAGGGCGGAAAGAGAGAGGAGAGGGGAAGTTGAAGGGGGGCGGCATGGCAACGGGTCAAACTCGCAAAGTTGAGCCCTCAGATACGTGCACATCTTTGTTGGGGAATGCACGACGCAACGCACTCATCTGCACGTATCGACGGTCTGCACAAGACCATTCGCTTCACCACCCCGCAATGGTAGGGCAGAGCTGGGACGGGGAGGTGGGGGACTGTAGGGGTTGGGAGGGGAGAAGCAGGAAGAAAACCTATTACTACCATGTTTACAGGTGCAGGCGAGTAGAATAGCTTAGAAATAAATACGGGCTACCCTGTCTACTCCTATGCGTAAAATTTGTGAGTCTGCCTAACCTTCCTGCCTGGAAAAAACTTGCAAGCAAGGTAACAACGGTGATGCACTGGCGAAAAGGGGAGAAGGGGAGAAAAGAGTGATGGGGAAGAATGGTGGGGGAAAAGGGTGGGGAAGCAGGACGGGGGGGAAGGGCAGGGGAGAACTGGGGGGTGAGAAGGAAAAGGCGGAGAAAGAAATGGGGAGAGACGCGGAAGAGAGAGAAGGGGAGGGGAGAAGGGAGGAGGGGGAGAAAGGGGTACCTGGGTGACTCGGAATTTAGGGGCGATGGGCACGAAACTGAGAGCGCCCTTGCCCTTGTACACGGTGTGGTCCACAAACACACGCGCGGAGGGCTCTGGTGGTGGCGGTGGGGAGCGGTGGGGGCCGGTGGGGCGGGGTGTGTGTGACATTGGGAGGCAGCACAGTAATGAGAGCAAGAGGGGGGGAGCTATGGCTGGCATCACACGGGCAATGGGCACGAAGCAGGGAGCGCCCTTGCCCTTGTACACGGTGTGATCCACGAACACACGCGCGGAGGGCTCTGGTGATGGGAGTGGTGTGGGGGAGGGAGAGGGGTGCAAGAGGGGAAAGGTATGCCAGCCTGCCATCAAGCGCCCTTGCCCTTGTACACGGTGTGATCCACAAACACACGCGCGGAGGGCTCTGGTGGCGGTGGTTCAGGGGGTGGTTCAGGGGGTGGTGGCAGAGAGGGGCAGCGCAGAGACGGGTGCAAGAGGGAGGAGCTATGGCATCACAGCAGCAGGCGAGGAGGTTGAGAGCGCCCTTGCCCTTGTACACGGTGTGATCCACAAACACACGTGCAGAGGGCTCTGGTGGTGGTGGGTGGGGGAGGTGGAGGGAGGAGGCGGAGGGAGGAGGCGGAGGGAGGAGGCAGCAGAGAGATGAGTGCAAGAGGGGAGAGCAATGACATGTTAAGCGCCCTTGCCCTTGTAAAAAAAGAGTGGTCTATGAAAACACGCGCAGAGGGCTCTGGTGGTGGTGAGGATGGTGGTGAGGATGGTGGTGAGACGAGACAGTAAAGAGATGAGACAAGTTCCTTCCCGCCTTCCCCCTACCAACCCCCCCTGTTTCCTACGCCTCTTCCCCCCTCCTTTCCCTCTTCCTCTTCCTCCCCCTCCCCACCCCCACTGACCCTGACCGCCTGACTGGAAGCGCCGCGCCTCCTCCCCCATCATCGCGCTGACGTGGAACGCGCGCTGCCCAGCTGGGCGCATCGTCAGCACGGATCGGGATGACGTGGCCGAAGCTACCATGAGCCTGCGCAACGGAGGAGAGGGAGGGAACGGCAGAGCGAGAGGGAATGGAGGGAATACACGTGGGATTGGTGAGATAACCGGCGGGGAATACGCAAAATTGAGAATTTCAATCCCGCTATATCGGTATTGTCTGCTACTATGTAGCAAGACTTCTAAAACGCGAACATAAAGAATCTAGGGCCGTGATCAGTATCTATACCTCTTAGATCCCGTCAGAAAGCCCGCGCTCGAGGCGCCCAGCGTTCGCACGACGCACGCGTTCATGGCGACTGGCGGGGACGGCGCGAGTGTACAGGCGGATGGCGGACGGCGGACGGCGGACAGCGGAAGGCGGAAGGCGGAAGGGGGATGGCGAGCGGAAGGCCGAAACCGGGACGTGATGTGGGAAACAAGATTCACCTGGGTTAGTCGCGATGCATTTCAGGCATACCGTGTTACATTCAGATCACATGATTCTGTGTGTGCAGCAACGTGCTCAGATTCTGTAAGGAAAATTCCTTTTCCTTACTTCGCGTCCCCGCTCAGCGCGTACACCACTCTAGCACCACAGTCAGCACCGTTACCACTCGCAACTCTCGCATCGACAATCCTCCCGCCACCTTCGCACGTCGCACCCCGACCTCACGGCTCGGCGGGTAACCCGCGCTCCGGGCCTCCGCTTCGACATTTTCCCCAACCTCAGTCCCAGGCCCGTCGCGCGACAACCACAGTCCATTACCGTTACCACTGTAGTTTCGCTATATATTCTTCGCTCATGCCTTCGCTCATTGTACTCTTGCTTCGATAGTGCAATTCTCGCTCGCTTACTCAATTGCACTCGTAACACTTGGTATTCAGAGCCTACGATCTCTTCTCGGCCCGCACCCACACCTTCGCTTCCGCACTATCTCAATTTTTGGGGGGGGTAGACGTCTCTCAGCGACACAGCACCGCCGCTCGTAGTGCTCTCTCGTAAGCACGCACGGCCACGACCGAGGCTCTCGCTGAGCTCGCCCGACACCCCCGCCATGGCCGAATTCACGCTCGCAACATTGACGCAAGAGCAGCTCGACCGTCTGGTGCGCCAACTTGAAAATTCGGCGCTCGAAATTGCGACGCTCACGACGGAACGTGACTCCGCGCGTCAGCAATCAACGGTGAACACTCCCGCGCCACCACACGCACCGACAAATACATCTGCACAATCGGACGAGCCGACCGTCATTTCGTCCGGCACACCAACACAACACGACAGCGTGGGACAGCGCTCAGGCGCAGCCAGTGATGGCGCCGCCCAGCCGATGCCTGGCATGGGAGGAAACAGGGTCGCACCAAGCCCGCGGGAGCCTCGTGAAGCCCGTCGGCACGTGGAGTTCGCGGCGACAAGTGGCGAACAGGCCATTATGGCACCAATGCCACTCAAGCCGCAACGCCCGCCCTGCTTCGACCCAAGCCAACGTGGAGGTCCGACGGTTCAATCGTGGGTCTTCACGATGAACGTCTTCTTCGACGCGAATTACATCGAGTCAGACGCAACGAAGATTCGGTATGCCGTTTCGCTGCTGAGGGGCCCCGCCATGGACTGGTGGCGAGTCATCGTGACGTCGCCACGCGCCTACGAGCCACCGTCGCAAGAGGAAGGGCCCACGGGTCCAGCTGTCACCTAGAGTTCATTCTGCGAGACCGCCCAATACAGCACGTGGGATGCGTGGTGCGCAGGGCTTCGGGCGCGCTTCGAGCCAATTGCGGCTTCTATTTCGGCGTGTCAGAGACTTCGTACTGTGAAAGAAACTAGAACGAGAATGAATGAACTATGAATGAAGTGAGTACATATAGGAAACCCTGATAGCGTGGCCAGATGCAGCTCCAGGGCCGTCCGCGTGTGTCCCTCACGCCCCAGCAGCTTCGTGAGTGGTACACCAGTTGGGGTTGTCGGAGTGGCAGCAGTAGGAGTCGTCCTGGAGTGGGTAGTTTGGGAGTTTCTTGTAGTGGCCCGGTGTAGCAGCAGCGTCGTCTGTGCGAGACTCGTTCGCCCCACCAGCTTCGTGAGTGGTACGCTCAGAGTAGAGGGTCGCTGAGTACTGCTCGCTGCCCTTACGTTATTAGCACGGGTGTCCGGGCTAGTCAGCCTTGCGGGACGCGTGGTCATACAAAGTCCCGCTGCTTCGCCCGTCTGAGCGACGCTTGGCGTACAGAGTTTGGCGACGATGCTGAGCTCCTCGACTGGGTGGAGCTGCTTAGGTAGAGGGTAGATATCTTTGCTCTTGACTATGATGCTATTCTCACTGCAATGTATGCATTGTCTACTAGTGCCGAGGGAGCCTGTCACCTGTGTGTGCCGCCTGACCCCGGTATCCAGTCTGCTGCTCCATGTGCCGGTGAGGCTGCCGCTCTAGGTGCTAGTGCGTCTGCTGCCCCTGGTCCTGGTGAGGCTGCTGCTCTAGGTGCAGGTGTGTCTGCTGCTTCAGGTGCTTGTGAGTCTGCGCCTTCAGGTCCTTAGACTACTGAGGCACTGCACACCTTCACACTGGACTCAGGTGCTTCTCCCTGTTTCTTTCGCGACCGCACTGCCCTCGAGCAGCTCCCTAGGCCGGTTGCTGTCTCCTTGGGTGACCCCTCAGGGGGTCCGGTCCTTGCGACCTCCACCACTGCCCTCCCTTGTCCTGCTATCCCGTCTTGCACACTGTCGGGCCTTTACCTCCCCTCGTTCTCTACGAACTTGGTGGCAGGTTCTGCGCTCCAAGATGCGGGTGTTCACCAGTTCACCCCTGCCTACGAGCGTGTGATACACTGCACGTGTGCCCAGACGGGTGTTCACCTAGCTACCTTCACTAGGCAGCCGGGGTCGGACTTGTACACACTGATCACTGAGTCCCCTCAGGTAGCGGCGTCTGCGTCTGCGTTAGGTCAGTTGTCCGCCCCCTACTCCTGTCGCACCCTGTCGCACCGGACGGTCCTCTGGCACCACCGCCTTGGTCACCCTTCGATGCAGCGCCTTCGTGGCATGCACTCTCATTTCCTTGTTTCGGGTCTCCCCAGGTCACTGCCTCCCCTACCACCGTCCCCGGCCCCTCCTTGCCTTCCCTGTGTCGAGGGGCGGCAGCGTGCCACCCCTCACTCCTCTGAGTTTCCCCCGATAGAAGCTCCTCTGCAGACCCTTCACATGGACGTGTGGGGCCCAGCCCGCGTCCATGGACAGGGTGGAGAGCGATACTTCCTGCTGGTCGTCGACGACTACACGCGCTACACCACGGTCTTCCACTTGCGCACCAAGGGTGAGGTCCCTGATGTTTTGATCCCTTGGATCCGCGCTGCTCGTCTCCAGCTCCGCGACCGGTTCCAGTCGGACTTTCCAGTCTTGCGTCTGCACTCTGACAGGGGTGGTGAGTTTTCCTCCAACCTCTTGGCAGCCAACTGTGCGGAGCACGGCATCCGCCAAACGTTCACACTTCCGGACTCTCCATAGCAGAATGGGGTTGCTAAGCGCCGCATTGGCTTAGTCATGGAGGTCACTCGTACCTCCATGATCCATGCGGCTGCCCCCCATTTCCTGTGACCGTTTGCAGTGCAGTACGTTGCGCATCAGCTCAACCTCTGGCCCCGTGTCTCTGCTCCGGAGACCTCGCCCACACTGCGTTGGACGGGGGAGGTTGGCGATGCGTCGGTGTTCCGGGTCTGAGGATGTCGAGCCTTTGTCCGCGATACGTCCGCGGACAAGCTCTCCTCCCATGCCGTTCCCTGTGTCTTCCTTGGCTTTGTCCCTGACGCGCCTGGCTGGCAGTTTTACCACCCCACCTCGCGCCATGTCCTGCCCTCTCAGGATGTCACGTTTGACGAGTCGTTCCCCTTTTACCGTCTCTTCCCCTACCACACTGCCCCGCTCCCACCTCCGCCGCTCTTCCTCACGCCAGGCGCTGCTTCGGTAGACCCCCTACCTCCTCAGGGTCCTGCTCCCTCAGGTGTTTCCCAGGTAGACCCGGTCGAGCCTGTCAAGGTAGCTGTCGACTCTGGTCCTCCGCGAGGTACTGCATCTTGGGGGTGCTAGGACTGGGGGTGCTGAGCCTGGGGGTGCTAAGACTGGGGGTGCTGAGCCCGGGGGGTGCTGAGATTGGGGGTGCTGAACGAGGGAGTGCTGAGACTAGCGGTGCTGGGCCTGGGGGAGCTGAGACTGACCGTGCTGCGCCTGGTGGCGCTCTCTCCTCACAGCAGCTGCGTGACTGGTACTCTCAGCGTAGCGGCCTCGAGCGTTGGGCTACTGGAGCTGGGGGTTCTGCCGGAGTTGGAGCTGGTGGTGCTACGGGTGCTGTGTCGCCGCCGGAGCCTCCCTCCCTACAGCGGCTACGTGAGTGGTACGGTCGACGCTGCAGCCTCCGGAGCGGCGCTCTTAGCACTGGGGTGCCGCCCGCTGGAGGCCCTGGTGCTGCTAGAGGTACTGGAGCCTCTGGTCCTAAAGGTGCTCGTACACGCGGTACAGGAGCTGCTGGGATTGGGGGTTCTGCTGGAGCTGCAGCAGAAGCTGCTGGAGCTGGTGCTACTGGAGGTGCTGCTTGTGCTGGAGCTGCTGGAGGTACTGCTGGTGCTGGAGCTGCTGGAGGTGCTGCTGGTGCTGGAGTTGGAGCTGGAGGTGCTGGAGCTGCTGGAGCTACCGGTGGAGGTGAGGCCGCTGGGCCTACTGGAGTTGGTGTAGCTGCTGACACTATGGTTGGTGCTGTAGGGGCTGTAGCTGGAGGTGCTGACGCTCGTCCTCCTGCAGATGCTGGAGCCGACGGTGCGGCTGGAGCTGGTGCTACTTCGGGTTTTGGTGCTGTCTCTGCTGGTTCTGCATGCGCTCCACGACGGCAGCGGTACTTCGTTCTGCTCCTTCAGCAGGTTCTTGGTCAGCCTCCTCCTCCTTGTCCTGCTCCCTCCTTAGAGCTTCCTCCGCCTGTCCGATCGCAAGCACAGTTACAGCCTGCCTCGCCACTTCCTAGTCCTTCTCCCTACATTGGTCCGACCAGAGATCTTACGGAGCATCGTGAGCCTGAGTCTCGTCCTGTGTCGCCTAAGTCTCGTTCTGCGTCACCTGTTCGTACTGCTCGCACTGGTCGTCGTGTCCCGTGTCAACGTCCTCCTACTGTCCCAGGCACTCACCAGATGACGCTTCGTCTTTCCACTGCTCCACAGCGTGTCTCTCTGCCTTCTCCTCCTGCGTCCTCTCTTCCTACCCTTGCTGACCCGGAGTCTGACTCTCTTCGTGCTGCTAGTCCTACTGTCACGCGTCTCCTGGCTACTGCTGTCACTGACCCTTCCTTTGAGCCAGCTGCTGCGTCTGCCTTAGTTGCTGAGCTTGTCGACTTTGCTGCTCACTGTCGTCTAGACTACGCTGCCAGTCTTGTTGCTGAGTCTGAGTCTGTCTGTCCTCCGTCCGTTGGGGGTGAGTGTGCTCTTGGCACGGACGTCCTTGAGGACAGGCAGGAGGAGTTTGAGTGCTTTGCCGCTGTTGTACCTCATCTCGTGTCCATGCGGATTGCACCTGAGGGAGACCCGGATGCACCACACATCCCGACCCCGCGCTCTTACGCTGAGGCGATCGCGGGTGAGTACTCCTCTCAGTGGCAGTCAGCCATGGACGCAGAGATGGCATCTTAGAAGTCCACTAGCACTTACGTCGACGAGGTTCCCCCTCCTGGGGCGAACATCGTCAGTGGCATGTGGATTTTCAGGGTGAAGCGGCCGCCAGGTTCTCTGCCTGTCTTCAAGCCTCGTTACGTTGCTCGAGGCTTCAGTCAGCGAGAGGGAGTAGACTTCTTCCAGACCTTCTCCCCCACCCCGAAGATGACCACTCTTCGGGTGCTACTGCACGTTGCCGCTCAGCGTGACTACGAGCTTCACTCTCTTGACTTCAGCACAGCTTTCTTGCAGGGAGCCTGCACGAGGAGATTTGGCTGAACCGCCCTCCTGCCTTCACTGGGTCGTTCCCTCCTGGTACCAAGTGGAGCCTCCGACGGCGAGTCTACGGTCTCCGCCAGGCGCCACGTGAGTGGCACGACACACTGAGGAGGACACTTGCGGCTCTTGGGTTCGCGCCTTCTTCTGCTGACCCGTCGTTGTTTCTGCGCACCGACACTTCGCTGCCGCCGTTCTACATCCTTGTGTACGTCGACAATTTGGTCCTTGCCACTACTGACAGTGAGGCTCTCGCCCTGGTGAAGTCGGAGCTGTAGAAGAGACACACATGCACAGATCTGGGTGAACTGCGCAGCAATCTTGGCTTGCAGATCACCCGGGACAGAGCACGCCGCACCATCACACTAACTCAGTCACACATGGTGCAGCAGGTCCTTCAGCGATTCGGCTTCACCTGGTCCTCGGCACAGGCCACTCCTCTGGCTACAGGTCACTCGCTCTCAGCTCCACCTTCGGACGAGTCCGTAGAGCCGAGTGGTCCTTACCTAGAGCTAGTTGGTTGTCTCATGTACCTGATGACTTGCACTCGTCCTGACCTTGCGTACCTCTTGGCCTTCCGGCTCGCTACATGGCTCCTGGTCGGCACCGAAAGGTGCACATGGATGCTGCAAAGAGGGTACTGCGATACTTGTGCAGTACATCAGGCATGGGACTCGTGCTTGGAGGGAGGAGATCAGTTGTCCTCACTGGGCACTCAGACGCTTCTTGGGTTGACGACTAGGCTACGCAGCGGTCGTCACAGGGTTACACCTTCAGCCTTGGCTCTGGTTCAGTTTCTTGGCGTTCTACAGGTTCGTCTTCAGTTCTCAGCTCCAGTTGTGAAGCTGAGATCTACGCCACAGCCATGGCTGCATAGGAGTTACTCTGGCTCACCTATCTGCAGGCTGACTTGGGAGAGCGGCCTCGTTCTCCTCCAGTGCTGTACGACGTCAGCAAGGCTACCATTGCCTTGTGTGAGAAGCACAGACTGGACCACAAAACGAAGCACATTGCTCTGCGTTACTTCCAGGCTCGAGAGTTGCAGGAGCGTGGTCAGTTTCGTCTGCGTTACGTGGCCACTCGGGCCAACACTGCTGATATATTCACCAAAGCACTTCAGTCTGGTGATCATCAGCGTCTGTGCACTATGCTAGGGCTTGTTCCCACTTTTCCTCACTTGTTGTAGGGTTTGCTTGTACTGTGCTCTATATTTATATACCTGCATGCTTGCTTTGCTAGGTAGAGATCTGTTGAAATATATTTCTTATATAAACTGCTTGTAGCAGTAGTTAGTGTAGTGTTACATTGGTGGTGCACCTTTCCTTGCTTCTTTGTTCTCTATTTGTACTCTTTGCTCCATAGTGAAATCACCTTTTCTTGCTCCAACTCTCTCGATAGTCATGCCTAGCCTAAACCCTAGCATGACTCCTATTCTTCCCTCCTAACTACTATCTTAACATGGTATTAGAGCGTTTTCCTTCCTGGCCTGTGGGCCCCCCACCAACGTCTTCCGCTGCCCTACTGTCCGCCGCGCGCCCCGTGGCGCGCGGCGCTGCATTTTCTTCCCGCCACGCGCTCAGAGCGCGTGGCGGCTTTTTTCTGAGCGCGCGGCGGTTTTCCCGTCCATCAAAGCGCCCTCGGGGGGGCTTGCGCGCTGCCCTCCCCGCTGCTCGTCACGACGCCCGCGCGGGACCCGCGGGGCGTCGCCCCTACTCGTCGCGACGACCCTACGGGACCCGCGGGGTGTCGCCCCTGCTCGTCGCGACGTCCGTGCGGGACCTGCGAGGCGTCGCCCCTGCTCGTCGCGGCGTCCGTACAGGACCCGCGGGGCGCCGCCAGAGCCTACAGCAGCGGCCGCCGCCACCCAGCAGCAGCAGCCGCCGCCAGGCCTGCAGCAGCTGCCGCCTCCGCGCCTGCAGCAGCAGCAGCCGCCGCTCTGCAGCAGCAGCCCCAGGGGAGGGTGAGGGTGAGGGGGTGGCAGGGGTGACCAGCATGCGTTAGCCCACCTCCTCTCTCTCTTCCTGTCGCCTCCTGGGGTGGTGGGGGGGGGGGGGGGAGGGTGAGGGGGTGGCGTTGGAGGAAGGGTGGGGGGAAGGCGTGAGGTTCCAGGGGGCGGTTGACAAGGGGGGTGAGGTTGAGGGGGGTGGCTGAAAGAGGGTGTGGACTTGGGGGTTCGTAAGAGGGGCTCGCCGCGCTTGGCTCCCCCCACCTCCTCTCCTCCCTCTCTCACCCTCCCCCCCTTTGTAAAAAGGGGGTTCGTAAGAGGGGCTTGCCGCGCTTGGCTCCCCCCACCCCCGCTCCTCATCTCTCTCTCACCCTCCCCCCTTCGTAAAACGGGGGTTCGTAAGAGGGGCTTGCCGTGCTTGGCTCCCCCCACCTCCACTCCTCATCCCTCTCCTCTCCTCTCTCTCTCTCTCGCCTCCTCCTCCTCGCATTCTTCACTTGCCCTCTGCTTCTACTGCGCTTGGTGTACCCCTTCAGGGGGTGTCTCTGCATTAGCTTCCTGCTGCAAGCAGTTTAGGGGGTGTGTTGAAATATATTTCTTATATAAACTGCTTGTAGCAGTAGTTAGTGTAGTGTTACATTGGTGGTGCACCTTTCCTTGCTTCTTTGTTCTCTATTTGTACTCTTTGCTCCATAGTGAAATCACCTTTTCTTGCTCCAACTCTCTCGATAGTCATGCCTAGCCTAAACCCTAGCATGACTCCTATTCTTCCCTCCTAACTACTATCTTAACAAGATCACTGTGATGTTTGTGTTGCATATATGCCTCTGCATGTCAACTGGCCTTGTGGCCCTTTGTTTGTGCTCTCCTCAGTGTGTGTGGTGACGTTGTGATCCACCCTGAGCTTGCTTTGCATTTCTTGACTGGTCTTGTGACCCCTTTGCTCTCCCCCACTTTCCCTATGGGGGTGTGTCAAATGTCATATCTGCTACAGTTTGCTTAGGCTGTAGTGGGGTAGTTACTACGGGGTACAGTACGTTTAGGGTTTCCTATTTGTACCCAACTCTTTCCTAGTTCAATCACTCTTGTTCATTCTGACACACCGAAGACAACTTGGTTCCCCTGGACAGAATCGAGAACCACCCCGTCCTCACCGAGTATTTGCGCAGCCGAAACTTCAGGGATGTACACGCACTTTCGTAAGGAGGACCTCCTTAAGGGGGGGGGGGTAGTGTAAGGAAAATTCCTTTTCCTTACTTCGCGTCCCCGCTCAGCGCGTACACCACTGTAGCACCACAGTCAGCACCGTTACCACTCGCAACTCTCGCATCGACAATCCTCCCGCCACCTTCGCACGTCGCACCCCGACCTCACGGCTCGGCGGGTAACCCGCGCTCCGGGCCTCCGCTTCGACATTTTCCCCAACCTCAGTCCTAGGCCCGTCGCGCGACAACCACAGTCCATTACCGTTACCACTGTAGTTTCGCTATATATTCTTCGCTCATACCTTCGCTCATTGTACTCTTGCTTCGATAGTGCAATTCTCGCTCGCTCACTCAATTGCACTAGTAACAGATTCTAACCATTTTTATCGAGTTTTTTCAAGGTGTAGCAGATAAGCACATACTACCTTGTTGAATCAAACATACCGTACAAAACATTATGAAGGAAATTATCACTTACAAATGGTGCAAAAATCATGCAACACAGAATCTGTCAGCGGAAGCCATGGAATGCAACATGCAAGTAAAAGGGCTCCATAAATTCTAAATTCATGCATTTGTGGATCTAAAATGATCTTCGTCAATTGTTGAATACAGTAGCCCCTCCATGACCAAAAACTCCACAGTGCTCCTGTAACGAAAATAGCACCAAGTGGGGCAGTCAAAACGAAAAAAACAAACATCAATCCTAACATCAAAGCGGAGCCACGCACCACAAAGAGAAAGAAACAAAAAAGTTCAAAGAAAAACAGTCAAACAAACTAAGAAAACCATTACTGACCGGATCTCCTGGGGAGACACATCAGGCATGCTTTGAGCAACTTGTTGGTGGTGAATGCCTTGTTGAATGTTCCTGCAGAGAGTGAAAAGACATGTGGATGGATAAAGAGCAGAAAGACTACTTTCACACTGACACAAAACAACACACAGGAAACAAACCATACAAACACATCACACATCATATCACAACATAACACATTACATCACATCACACCACACCACACATCACATCACATCACATCACATCACATCACATCACATCACATCACATCACATCACATCACATCACATCACATCACATCACATCACATCACATCACATCACATCACATCACATCACATCACATCACATCACATCACATCACATCACATCACATTCATGCATGTCACGCATTCTGTGGACTTCCGTAAAACTGCATGACTCTGTCACACAGCACCACTCCTCGGCCCGCCCCACCAGGTGTATTTTGCTTCAACTCACAAACAATCCTCCGCACATATCACACGCCGCACTCGCACTCACGCATTCTGAGGGCTCTCGCAGAACTGCATGTTTCTGTCGCGCAACTCCACTCCCCGCCCTCCTTTCCCATCTGTATTTTGACTCAACTCATAACAAACCACAGCAGCACATCGCATGTCGCATGTCAAATCACTCACGCATTCTGAGGGCTCTCGTAGAACTGCAAGATTCTGTCGCGCAACTCCACTCCCCGCCCGCCCCCTGCCCCTCCTCCAGCCCCACCAAACGCGCCGCCGCCGCCGCCCATCCCCCCTCCTGCTCCTGCTGCTGCTGGTGCTGGTGGTGGCACGTACTGCCAAGGGCAAGTGGTGTGAAGGGCAACGCGAGAGACAGGACAGACGAGGAAGAAACGGACAAACACAGAAGTATTGGCAGCGCACATAGCGACTGTCAGCAGCTGGTGCACTTATGGCAACCAGGGAAACATGCAGCATAAACAGCAGGGGCTACAAGCAGTGACAGCGGCAGCATTAGTGGCATTAGTAAGCGAGTCCCTACCTGGTTGTAAGCAGGCTGTTGTGGCCGCTGTGGTGGCTGATTGGGTGATGCCTCGGTACCATCGGCTCCTCCTCCCTGTGGAGGGTAAGATCAATGGAGAGAGAGGGAGTGAGGGGAGGAGTGAGGGGCAGTGAGTGAGTGAGTGTGAGAGAAAATCAGAGTTGGTTTGGCTTCAAACACATTCCTGTGCCGCCTCTATCCCATCGTTTTTGCGTGATAGAAGAGGTACAGCTTAGGAAACGCCCCCCCTCTCCCCTGCAAGAAGCTTCTACTCAGAAGGAAAAGAGTAATGATCGACTGGTGGGATGGTAATGTAAATGCATCCCCCTGCTGTGCGTACCGTCTTGCGAGTATGCAGGTACACGAAAATGGCATCCAGGAAATGGAATGTGACCTCGTTGAAATCCGTGACAGGCCTGCACACACACACACACACACACACACACACACACACACACACACACACACACACACGCACGCACACACGCACACGCACACACATACACACACACACACACACACACACACACACACACACACACACACACACACACACACACACACACAAGAGGGGGGTAACCGCGATTCTTAATTACTCTGAAAACAAATGTTAACAGACACAAGCTGGAGGCGGAGAAGGGGAAAGGTGATGGGGGTGGTGGAGGGGGGAAAAGTGCTGATCGATTGTGACACCGCATATGGACCAACTTGTTGCACGAGTATTGCTGGCTTAGTTGGAATGAGAGGTTCAAGAAATAGTCAAGACATCCAGGTCTATTGGAACAGTCAATACATCCAGGGAGGAATCACAGGACATAAGACGCAATAGGAGACATCCCCCCCGCCCCCCCCCCCCCCCCCCCCCCCCCTTTTCCTTTCATATCTTGGCTCAAAAGCACGCACCTGACAGCATGTGCGATGACGTATCGCTTGTTGTTCTGCAGCCTCACGTGGCCATGCACTCGAACGTACGCTCCAGGGCTATGATAGGTTGGTAAGAGAGGATAAGGGCGCACAGCCGTGGGAAGAAGAGCAAGCAAAAAACGAATAAGAAAAACAAGATCCGGATAAGTTGGATTCTGCAATGTCAATCTCAAGGCACTTGTATACACCTAAGAAACCAGGCACTGTCCATGCACACGAAGTAGCGCGAGGCTCACTAGAACCCATGTGGCATTTCCAGCCGAAATCAACCCAGAAAGGACACTCAAGAGAAAAAGATACGGGGAATATATAGAATACGGAAAACCACAGCCTTCTTGTGAAGTAACCTGCAAGAAACGTTGGTTGTAAGTTACTACTCAACAAGTGATCCTGAGTGTGCAGGTGACCTTACCGCACGGTCTCCAAGGTAGCCAACTCGTTAGTGTCACGGTCAATCCTGTAGGACAAAGTCAGGTAGATTCCCATGCAGGAAAAGAAAAGTTGGGATGGTGTGAGAGGCAAGCAGCAAAGGCATCCCTAAATCTTTGACAGGACCAGAAAGAGAGCGGCAAGTTTTAGAGGGAGCAGCGCACACACACACGCATGCACGCACACCACCTACCCCCCCCCCCCCCCCCCCCCCCCCCCCCCCCCCACCAACCTTGTTCCCCCCCCCCACACACACACCCACCCGCACAAATTCACACCTCCCCTCCACTATTCCTTCCCCCTTGCCCTCCTCCCTCATGCTCACCTTCGGCGCACTTCAATCTTGCCCGTGTTATCGTCCAACACTATCAACTTGTCCATCTCCTAGTCAAATGTCCAGGCCCTCGAACACAAATAAGGTGCCTCAACGACCTCCACCCTTCCCCTCCCTTTCCCCCCTTCCCCCTGTCCCCTTCTCACCATCGGCGCACTTCAATCTTGCCCGTGCTATCGTCCAGCACGATCGACACGTCCGTCTCGTGGTCGTCGCGCCTCGCCACCTTGCCTACAAGCACCATCTGGCATACGCGTACAGTCACATGCAGACACGTGGAACAGAGGAGCAGCACCGCAGATTGACTAGAGGCGGCTCAGAAATGAACACGCGTGGAGGCAAACGGGGGACACGTGGAACAGGTAAGAAGCACATTATGGTGCATATACTTGCAAAGCCGGTAGGATATTAGGAAAGCACCGACTGACACCAGTACGGGGCCATCTCCATGGGCGCTTAGATAAGTCGAACATGGTCACAGGGAAAGAACGACGGTCGTTCTCGGTCAAAAGGAGCACAAGTGAGCACTCCGTAAACAAAGCAGTCACACGTGCAAATAACAACCGTTGGTTGGTACGCACGTTTGTCGCATCGTGACCGTTGATGAAGAGCGAGTTTTCCGTCGTGTCGCGCACTCCAGCGTTGGCGATCTCCCGCACGGTCACAGGGAAGAGCGTGTTGACGTTGTTGGGTCTCTGCTCGGCATGCCATGGCGTGGCATGAACGTGGAGTGATGCGCGCGTGACGTGGCCGGCGCGGCAGACGACGCGGCACAAGGTGGATGATGATGCAAGGAAAAACGGACAAGGGACGGAAAGGCGGCATTGAAACGCACGGATAAAGGAGCGGCGACGCTGTAAGAACAAAGGAGAGAAAGCGATCGAGAAAGGACAGGCGAGGGACTAAACGACTAAGTAAAAACAATAACACCGGACAAGCAGCGACAAATGAAACACGGAAAACGGTTGACCATGGTCGCAACAAGGTCTCCACCCATAATGAAACGCACCCGTCCACCTGCGTTAGGAGAGTAAACTCCAGCTGCTCCTCCTGCTCCCCCCGGTGGCCCCGGGGTTGTAGGCATGAAGCCGCCGCCTCCAAATTGGCTGGCTCCGCCTCCGCCAAAATCTCCGCCTAAGTCACCTCCTCCGTACATGGTTGACAGAGTAATATATCAGCTAGTTTGTCGGAATGGTAGATAGATCAGCTAGTTGTGCTAGACAAATCTCCGTTGACTCGGGGACAGGTTCACGATATGAAGAACTGGAGCGATCGCCCAGAATACACGAATAGCAGGAGGCGAGATGGGAGATTAGGCTGCTGCTAGTTAGCCAGTTCCGGTTATGAACAAATCTGGAGAAACGCTAAGAAAAATGACTATCCACATCGCGCTCTCGATTTGTACGGCGATTTGCTCCAACGAAACAATTTACGCGGTCGAGAAAGTTTGACGGTAACCAGAATTTCGCGAGGGCAACGCGTCGAGGTCACCATGCACCACGGCCGCGGTCAGTCGAAAACTCCCGACCTAGAACCTTGTGGGGTTCAAATATTCAAATTTCGGAACAAGCGTTACCTTGACGACAACCATGATACAACAGAGTTCACACAAGGAATAACGAAGGCGTTGGCATGTTCCGGTTTTGTCCTTCTAAAACTCACATTCACCATTTTCATATGGTTCTCATCCTTCATGCTCTCCTCAATCTAATATATGGCGAAGTTACATGGGAGCTACCATAACCAATACGATGATCAAAGCATTTATGTAAGAGTAACCTGATTAGAATCAATTGTTGATTTGATCGATAGTAATCTGGAGGGCAGTAATTATGTTTGAGGGGCTCCCTGTGAGGAGGAATCATATTTTAAGGACGCTCAGGGTTGAGTTCTTGTTCTGATGGGTGTGTTTTGTTTTATATACATTTCTTATAGTAGCTAGGTAGGTTGGAGCAAAAGAACATACTAGGCATCCCTTGTCTAGATCGTTCAACCAATACACTCCTAAGAAAGGTAATACGAACCCCAGCAGCATCTTTCAGAGGGAATATGTATGCACAGCTCCAATAGAATTTGCGGCAGCACTTCCAGACTAGAGGGTTCTCACTGGCTGCCGTATTGTCAGAAGCGTGCTCGGGTTTGTGGGCAGGGACGCCCCCGATTGTGTCGACGTGTAGTGTCCAATAGCAGCGTGGCGTGTGGCATCCAGCCCCAGTTGCATGGAAAATTAGCCTGGCTGACACATTGGCCGTATCGTGAGTGGTCCCCAGACGACATTGCGGACGACACCTGATTGGACATTGAGCTGTATCTTCCCTGACATCTGCGTCAGCAACACCTTCATCCGCCTTGGGGTCAAATTAGATTGTTCGGGAACGAATCATGTGGTTCAAGCACCCTGTTTTACTGTTGGAGGTTCTAGAGACCCCCCGAGAACGCCACCTCTTGGCTAATTATCTGTCGCCAAATGTCAGGTTCCCGAACCTCCCTGCTTTGATTCGCGTGCTGTTCTGTATCGCAAAAGCAAATTCCTCAACCACCCCGACCACTCGACCCACAGACCACACACCACCCAAATCAGGTTACGAGCTTTTTGGGCCCCAGCTCACCCATCCGTCCGTCCATCCATTTAGCTCATCCGTTTCCGCCGTCCATTGTTTGCCTTTGCTCGGCGCGCAAACCTCCTGTTTTCTCAAGCGAGTTTCCATTCGCCTTCCTGCACTGACGCCGATTCGATTATTTTGATCGAGGGTAGGAGGAGCGGAGCGATTACCAGGTCTGTTTGGGAATCCGGGGTACAACATTTAATGTGTTTTCTGTCATAGTTAGTACTAATCACATCACTTGAACCACATTTGAAAGCTACTTTCAGCTCGTCATCCCATTTCCCCCCCCATTACCAGCACCAGACTCAGTTTCTGGTGGGAAATGTGTCCCAATAAGGTTGTCCAGAAACTACCACCCCTGCGCTGTCGGTACTTGGAAGTGGAAAATATGCAGAGTAATTTGTGAAACAGGCCTCTCAGACGAGTCTCCATGTCTCAATTGTTCACTACAATTACGTGTCGGCATCTTTCCACTCATCAGTGAATCTTCTCCCTTGAGCCACGAAAAGACAGAACGGAACGGGACGGAACACATCACAGTCCAGTCAAATGCCTTGGCGGAGCTTGGCCGCAGTTGTGTGTGATGATCCAACACGCAACGTGCATCACGGGCGGAAGAAACCCGCGTTGCCGTTGATGGCTTCCCCCTTCCCCTGCCCCAGTTCTGCAACTCTGTGGCCTGTCGCTCACGTGGAGATCCTTCCCCCTTCCGGCCCTTAGGCGCACGCAACTCTCGGAGTTTCCCGCGTGATTCATGTATCATTCGCGCAGTTTCTCACCTCCCTCTGTGGTCGGATTTCATCCGCGCTTCCCCCCTTTCTTCCCGTTGTCCCCCGTCCAAACTCCCCCGTTTCCCCCCTCCCCTGTCGGCTGCGGAATTCCCGCAGCAGATCCCCGTTCTACTGCCATCGCCAAATCCTCCTCACCTCACCTCAGCCAACAGTTCTCTCGCAGGTGCATGCTGCATGAATGAACTCCGTCCATCCATATAAGTAGGTGCTGCTGCTTTCCCTTTCTTCATCGTGGCTTCTGGCACCTTCGAGCTTCCTGGTCCAAGCTCGCTGATCGTCTACCCTCATAGAAGCGGGAATCGCACTTGTGTATTCCCCGTGCTGCGTATACTGTACATCCATTCCGCTTCTGCTTCGGCGTCCCCGTGTAAACACGACATCAGCTTAGTTTGCGCCAGGCTTAATCACCCCTGTCATCGAATCGTTTTACTCTCAGTCTCCTGACTCGCGCACAGCCGATCCTCGCTATTTTCGCTACTCTCCGGTTGCTCGGTCCAATCCAGCGGTGATTCGTACGTAACGCAATATCGCTTCTTTAATCTCCTCCAGTCGTCGGATTCGACTTCTCTAGGTCTTGGTTGAGTCGTTTTAAGCGTTCGTCAGTCTAAATGGTTCCTCGTCCGCTCGATATCACCCAGTCGGGGCCAGACTACGCGTCCGGGGGGATCCCGGGGGCCTCGGGAGTCCCGGCAGATCGTGCGATGGCGTTTCTGTCCAAGTCATTTCTCGACGTGCGTAAGAGCGCGGAGAGCGACCTTAAGCTCATCAGCACGCGCACGCAGGGCCTGAAAAAGATCGCAGAGCAGCTGGACGACTGGGAGAACATTAAACTACCCGCCGTTTTCCCGCTTAAGGACAAGGACAAGGACGTCACGGCCGGAACGCTCATCCGGAAGATTAAAGACCGGAGCCTGGAGATCACGAAGCCGCTGGGTGAGCGAGCGCTGTCGATCGATAGCGAGCTCGACTTGTTTTTCAAGAACTGGGAGCAGCACGTTCCGCCGGCTCTTTCCAAGCTGAAGAAGTTCCAAGATGCCGGTAACGCCGGTCGCGCGTCGGTCAGCCTGAAGCCGTTTGATGGCCGTCAGTTTATCAACCTGGACGAGTGGAACAAGGCCGTTAAGGCGCACGCGTGGCCGTTGGGCGAGAACTGGACTGTTCCGCTACAGCGCGCCATGAAGGAGGCTGCTGCGGCTGCTGCCGCCGCTGCCGCTGCTTCGCCGCCGGCTGCCGGCCCGCGTTCGCCGGCGGAGTTTCTGGAGGCCGTGAAGAAGAACCTGAAGCTGTCGGCGTCCAAGGACTTCTCGTCAGAGCTGGTGCGTGCCTCGTGTTGCTGTTTCCCTTCCGTTAGTGTTCCTCGGGTTACGTGGGCCTCGCCGTTAAGTGTGTCTTTCGCTAGTTCTTCGCGTCAACTTCCCTCGCGCTTTTAGCCACGGTCCCTCACGCGCGCTGGTTCCCTTGTCGCTCTCCCGCTTTCTGCGTCCTTCTCACTTCCTCTTTCGCCCGTTGCGCTGCGCTCCATGTTCCACCGTGATGGTCTTATCCACTCTCTTTCATTCACCGCCTGATGACCTCTCTCTCCTGCTCCCCTGCCCTGTCTCTCGTGCTCCCCCACAGCACCCCGACGTGCTTCCTCTGGACGTACCCGAGGTGCTCGAGTCCTTCGTGCGCAACTCTGAAGTGCTTCTGGACCACCTCGGCATGGACAAGGGTGAGTGCCGTGCCGTGCCGTGCCGTACCGTGTTTAACCGTACTGAACCGTACCCTACCGTGCTGTGTCGTGTCGTGCGACGTATCCTCGTGCCATGCTAAGGTGGTCCCCGTTCCCCCTCCCCCTCCCTCTCCGCCTCCTCCCTTGGTTGTTTTTCGTTCCGGCAGCCGTGGCGACCAAGGTCCGCAGCACCATCCGCACGCTCCGCGCGGGCACCGCAGGCATTGCCGCCGACGCCGCGGCGGACGTGGATGCGCGCGTGCAGGAGATCATGCGCAGCACGGGGTACCGCCTCGACGAGAGCGACGCGGGCTGGTGGAGCGCGCTCGCGCTCGCGCACGCCTCCAGCCAGCACGGCGCAGCGCAGGCGGGCGCGCAGAAGCAAAGGGCCACGGGGAAAGTTGCGGTTAAAGCGGGCGTTTTGAAGAAGGGGGAAGCGCAGGAGGAGATTCAGCACGAACAGACGCAGCAGCCTCAGCCGCAAACGGCGCAGCAGAAGCAGCGCAAGTTCGCGATCGTGACGACGGCGAGTCTGCCGTGGATGACGGGCACGGCCGTGAACCCGCTGCTCCGCGCCGCGTACCTGGCGGCGCTGGGCAAGGGCGTGGAGGTGACGCTGCTGGTGCCGTGGCTGGCGCGCGCGGAGCAGGGGCTCGTGTATCCGCGCAACATGACGTTCGAGACCCCCGCGGAGCAGGAGGCATACATGCGGAAATGGCTGCTGGAGCGCGTCGGGTTCCAGCCCGATATGAAGATCGCCTTCTATCCCGGACGGGTGAGTACGAGCACCACGCTGGAGGCTGGAAGGTGCTGGCCGTGGTGTGGAGGGGTTTAGCTGGTTTGCTTCGTTTCGGAGCACGCTGCTGTGGCTCCTGTCTCTCGTCACCCCCGCCCCTCCCCCCCCGCCCCCTCCCCCACCTTCCTTTCCTCGTCCCTCGGCTGCACGCTTCGTCCCTCTCTTTCCGTGTCCCCCTGGTTCTTCTTGCCCCCGTCTTAGTTTCCAAACCCGCTCGCTCTCTCACCTATCTTCCCCAATCCTTCCTCCTCCCCCTCCGCCTCCCGTCGTTCCTCCGCGCGCCAGTTCTCCACGGAGAAGCGCAGCATCCTGGCCGTCGGCGACATCTCCTCCTTCATCCCGGACGGCGACGCTGACGTGGCAGTCCTAGAGGAGCCCGAGCACCTCACCTGGTACTACCACGGCCGGCGCTGGACCGACAAGTTCAAGCACGTGGTGGGAATCATCCACACCAACTACCTCGAATACGTCCGCCGTGAGAAGAACGGCCCGATGCAGGCTTTCCTTCTCGAGCACGTGAACAACTGGATGGTCCGCTGCTACTGCAACAACGTCGTCCGCCTCTCCGCCGCGACGCAGGACTTTCCGCGCGCATCTGTCTGCAACGTGCATGGAGTTGGAGTCAAGTTTCTCAACATCGGGCAGCGGGTCGCCGCGGAGATGCAGGACGGCGGGAAGCCGTTCTCCCAGGGCGCGTATTACCTCGGGAAGATGGTGTGGGGGAAGGGGTACCGGGAACTGGTCGATTTACTCGCGGAGAACAGGGGCGCGCTGGCGGGACTCAAAGTAGACGTGTTTGGCAGCGGGGAGGACTCAGAAGCCGTCCGTGCAGAGGCCAAGGCGAAGGGGCTGAGCATGAAGTTCCACGCTGGGAGGGACCATGCTGACTCGAGCCTGCATAAGTTCAAGGTGTTTATCAATCCGAGTCTGAGCGACGTGGTGTGCACGACCACGGCGGAGGCGCTGGCGATGGGCAAGATCGTGGTGTGCGCGGATCATCCGTCTAACGACTTCTTCCGCTCCTTCCCCAACTGCTTCATCTACCGCAACCAGCAGGTGCGGATGGGTGGTTGGTTGATGCAAGAAAGGGCTGCATGGGGCGAAGGGGGAGGGGGTGAGAGGGCAGCAGGTGGTGGTTGATATTGTGGCACATGTCTTGTGGTTGGGTTGGGTCGGGTCTGGTCTGTTGAGGTCTCGGTCTGTCCTGGGCAGTGGGTTTATTAAGTGAGCTGTTGCTCTTACCCGGCCTTGTTACTGGTTGTTCTTCCGTCATGCCAAACTAATGCTTCCTTGTTCCTCCCCTTTCTATCGTACTCTCTCCCTCTCCCTCCTGCTCTCTTTTGCCACTGTTCAGGAGTTTGTGGAGAAGGTGCAGCAGGCCATGGCATCGCAGCCACAGCCGCTCTCAGACCAGCAGCGCCACATGCTCTCCTGGGAGGCTGCCACAGAGCGATTCCTCCGCTCCTCTGGCATCGATCACGAGCTCACCCACCTGCTCCCCTCCCCGGTCCCCTCAACCGCTGCTCTCTCCCGCTCGCCCTCCACCCTGTCTCTGACTGCTGCCCCTGCTGCTGGTGCTGCTGCTGCTGGTGACTGCTCGTCTCCACCCACACCCTCTGCTGCTGCTGCTGGTGCTGCTGATGGCTTGACCCGCCTGTCCACACGCAGCCGCAGCTGTGGCGACCTCATGTCTGCTTCTTCTGCTACTGCGTCTCCTGCCTCGTCTCCTACTGCATCGCCTGCTGCCACTGGCATGGTGCACAGTGCATCGGCGTTCGACCTCTCTGCGCCCACCAGCAGTGCTAGCCGCATCGACCGCGTGGTCTCGTATGCCTTTGACGAGCCGCCACAGACACAGCTCTCCACCAGCCTTGCCCTCCCACAGGAGTCTCTCCTCAGCAGCACCCCCCACGCCTGGAACACCCATCACCAGTGCCAGAACCAGGCCAACCAGGCCCACGTCCCCTCCCATGCAGCAGCAGCCCACTCGCGCAACACACTTCTCCCCAGCGCATCTCTCTCTCTGTCGGTCTCTGCCCCGGACCTTACCGACCTCACGGATCGATTCCTGTCCTTCTCGCATTTCATGGCTTCGGGGATAGAGCCGGCCCGCCTGGCCTCGGGTGCTCTCCCCAACACCATGCATATTGACGAGGAGATGTGCAAGGACCTGGGCTTGCCCCACCCGTGGGCGCAGCGGCCCTCGTATGGGTGGTGAGCGGTGGAATGCGGCTGCTGGGGTCAGTGAGGGGTGGAGTTGGAGTGGAGTGTGCAGTGGTGGTTAGCAGCAGAAGCTGTGAGGGATGGTGGATGGGGATGAACAGGGTCTTATGGAAGGGGAGGGGGGAAGGGGTGAGAGATGGGAGACGAGAGCTGAGTTTAGGAGAAACCAGCAGCATTGCACTGGTGGTTCTACCGTACCATATCTATTCAGCTCAGTTGGAGCCACTCCAGTTGTGAGTCTGTGCTACCTTCGTTCAGTGTAATGTAACAGCCATACTGTTTGGTGCTGTTGTGTATTCCTGCTTGTATGGATCGAATTGGAAGGAGACAGGTTGGGGTTGGCAGGAGAGTTTTTAGAGTGGATTTGGTGATAACAATACTTCAGGGCTAGCGTCTTGTAGAGTGTATTAGTGTGACGGTGCTGTCTTTAGGTATATTGCTTGTTGGATTGTGGGAGTTGTTGATTCACTGTGTGCTATCTGTTAATAGAGTTAAGTATTTCCCAGGATTTACTGTGTGCGGCCAGCTGATGCCCAAAAAATAGATTAGCAGAACCAGTAAAAGGGATCGCGCTAAACCGAACAATTCATCTGACAACGAATCTGTTGACCTAGTACCCAAGCGACACAGTTCCATACAACCGTCAGATCTTTGATCTAGGAGGCAATTTCTTCTAGAACCAATTCTCGATTCGATTCGTCCCACCCTACATCGCCGTTTTCTCGGCTTCTCTATCTCATCCTCCCTCCTCTCCCTCTGCTTACCCATACACACGCGAAGCCTAGTCAACCCGCTGACCTGGTCCTTACTTCATTTTCTCTCTCGGTCTCTCTCAGTCGCCTGGTTACCAGTCGTTCGCGAGCGTCGATCACCGCGAGCCACCATGATGCGACGGCCGCCTCCCGATATTCGCAACACGTACTCGCTTCTCGTCCTCAACATCACGTTCCGTGAGATCAGACTCCTTACTTCCCTTCCTTGCCTTTTCTTTGCCCTTTCGCTTTTCTTTAGTTATCCATGCGTTACGTAGTTACGTTATGGCTGCCTCTGGTTTGCCTCAGCTCCAGCTACCGTGGTCTCCTTCTTGTTCTACGAATGTTTTTCTTTCCTTGCAAGCATGGCTCTGGCTGTCTGTAGCAATACCAGGTGCAACTGTAGAGAGTAACTAGGTGTCGCGGGCAAATTATTGTACTCAAAGTTCCGCGATCCCGTAAAGGTTGCCTTTTCTTTTCAAGTTCCTGTCCGTTTTTTCATCCGCGCCGTGCCACTCTCGTTCCCATGCCCTTACCCGTCCCCACTCTCGTCTCGTCCTTTCCCGTCTCGCTTCTCTCGTGCATGTCCATTCTCCCATCCCCCCTCCGTCCATTCCGCTTCGCTCACCCTTCTCCGACCTTTCCTCTCCGCCTGGTCCCATACGTCTTTAATCTCCTACAGGAACAACGTCCCAGGACCTGATGCCACTATTCGAGCGCTACGGCACTGTTTCTGACATTTTCATTCCAAAGGACAAGCGGTACGCGATGGAATGTGGTGGCGAGCGATATCGTAAGATGGTGGTGGTAGGCGATGGGATGCGGTGATAGGCGATGGGATGCTTATGGGTGAGTGATGGCGATAGGATGCGATGGCCAATGACATGAGGGTGAGAGCAGAGACGTGAGAAGTGCGCTCATGTGAATGGGGATGCAGTGGGGATGCAGTGGGGATGCAGTGGGGATGTTTCCGGGATGTAGTGGCCTCGTCCTTCTGTCCTTTCATGCATGCCCCTCCTCCCTTCCCCCCACACTTCCCTTTCTCCCCCCTCCCCCCCCTTTCTCCCTCCCCACCCCAGCCCCTCCCCCTCATCTCGCTTCAGCTCCACCCCTATACTTCCCCTCCCTCATACTGCCACGTGAAAGTGCTCTGATCTTCTTTGGCGTCTTTGATTGATTCGCTTGATCCGCTTGATTCTCTTGATTCCCTTGATTCGCTTGATTCTCTTGATTCGCTTGATTCGCTTGATTCTCGTGATTCGCTTGATTCGCCTGATTCGCTTGATTCCCTTGATTCCCTTGATTCCCTTGATTCGCTTGATTCGCTTGATTCGCCTGATTCGCCTGATTCGCCTGATTTGCCTGATTCGCCTGATTCGCTTGATTCGTCTGATTCGCCTGATTCGCCTGATTCGCCTGATTCGCCTGATTCGCCTGATTCGCCTGATTCGCCTGATTCGCCTGATTCGCTTGATTCGCCTGATTCGCCTGATTCGCCTGATTCGCCTGATTCGCCTGATTCGCCTGATTCGCCTGATTCGCCTGATTCGCCTGATTCGCTTGATCTGCTTGATTCCCTTGCATGCACTCACCCCTTCTTCCTCCCTTCAGCCCCCTCCACGTCATCCCCCTTTCGTTCGCCATCTGACCCCAAATTTCTCGCTCGCCCGCATCCTCCCCTTTCCTCTCCCGCCCGCCCTGCCCCTCTCCTCTCTCTCTTTCCCCCTTGCCCCTTTTCCCCTCTTCCTCGCCCCCCCCCCCCGTCCTCTCCCCTTTCCCTACGACGGCCCTACCCCCGCCCTACCACTATTCGACGCATGGGCTTGTGCATGCGTGCATGGGATGGGATGGGATGGGATGGGATGCGATGGAGCAGCACGGGCACGTCGCGGGGGTTTGCGTTTGTGCGGTTCAAGCATGAAGACGAGGCAGCCAAGGCCGTCGAACGCCTCGATGGTGGGTGTGCTGCTGCTGCTGCTGTTGTGATGTGCTGTGTTGTACACACCTCTTCTCCCTCTCTCTCATTTCTTTTGCCATGCTCATTAGTTATCCATACACATGGCCAACTGCTCTCTCCCCCTCTCCCTCTCCCACGTCTCTCTCTCTCTCTCTCTCTCTCTCCCTCTCTCTCTCTCTCTCTCTCTCTCTCTCTCTCTCTCTCTCTCTCTCTCTCTCTCTCTCTCTCGAACGGCCCTTTCATTAATACACAAATATAGGACTTACAGGCATGCAAGGAGGTAGCTATTGTCAGTATGGTGCGAAAGACCTTACGACTCCCTTAACATACAACCCCCCCCCCTTTCTAAGCTAGGTCCAGTACGGGCTCAAGGACCGTGAGGCAATCCCCTAGGGACGGAGCCTCCCCCACTGCCTTGAGCAGTGGATTTTCTACTGCAGCCGCTATGCTGCATTTTTCCAAATAACCGATAGACTGCCCCCTTTGAAGAGCCACCGACCACCGCTGCCGAAAGTGGTGTAAGAGCTTGGCAGCTTGGTAGGAGGTTGGCTCGGCGTTAAAGAACCGCCTTGCAGCTGTCTCTGCGAGCAGCTTCAGGAAATCCACAGTCTCGGGGCATGGGCACCCATAAGTTTCGACCGCGAGCGGGAAAAACTTCACCCACTCGGGGCGGTCCCTGTAGAGGCCGTGCTTTTTATCTGCTGCTTCCCGAGCCGCCCACCCCCGCCCCTTAGTTGCATTCTCATCACAGGTGCTGATGGGGTCCGTCACCGTCACATCACAGATGTAGACGGCTCCTGTTGAGCGGCAGCGGAGGGCAAGGTCCGCCTTCTTCTCCTCCACTGGGCTGAAGGCGGCCGTTTCAATGTGCACCATGAAGCCCGCGTCGCGCGCCATTCGCGCACACTCATCTCTGAGTTCGTTGTGGGTGTTTGTGCGCCCCCCCCCTGTCCCGCACCGAAACAGGTGGTTTGGGAGACGCTTGTCAGGGATTTCTACCTGCTTCGAGCAATTGCAGACCCCGGGGGCCTCAAAGGGGAGCCCCAGCCGAAACTGGACTGCGTTGGCGTAGTGCGGAGCCTCGAGGTGTAGCGCGCGGTGCAGCGGCACCGCGTTCAACCAATCCCCCGCCCCGTACCCCGACAGGGACAACAGCCGTTGTGTGTGCCCACTGTTTGGGTTCGGGCTCATCCCCCGCACCTCCTCCACCTGAACTGCGTAGCGCTGGCCTTGGATAGCCGTGGCTAACCCGTGCTGCAGCTTTCCCGCGGTAGGGGCTGTCCTCTCCGCTTGCAGTGCTTCTTGCGCCGGCAGTGGAAGCTCCTCCTCGCACTCCGCCAACCACTCGGTCAAAGGAGATGACTGAGTGTAGGGGCCGCGCATCTGCTCGCGGATGACCTCCAGAGGGCCATTGCAGTCGCCCTCGAGGGAGTCAAGGAGAAGGTGAGCCTGCGTGTTGTCGCACCCTCTCCCAGTGGATCCGCCCTCCCGTCCTTCTCTTGCTCTGTGCCCTCTAATCCTTACTTCTCTCCCTGCTTCCCCGCTTCCTTGTGCACACCTCCTCCTCGTCTCTTATAGGTAATGATACTCTCTGGACCCCTGTCATGAAAGAAGCCCTCGACGCGAGTGGCTAGTTTCCTTCCGCACTAGTTTGGCTTCTCCGACGTGGATCTAGCAGTTGCTCAGCTTGACGACAGATCACAACTGAATCACAAGCTTTCCCACAATTACGAGAAGACAAACAAAAGTGAATTGGTGTCCTTGCTGTGCTAGTTTTGGCTTCCTGTCACCCCTCGTGAATCTGTGCCTTGGGGTCTGCCAACTACCTCTCGCACCGCCCAACCCTTGGGCTCCTTTCCATGCATGCGACTCGGGCAAGCCTCGTCACCCCTGTCCCCTTTCCGCTTCACCGGTGGCCCTTGCCAGGTCAGCCGTCGTCCCGTCCTCATTTCGAGTGGCCCCGCCTCGATTCTTCTATCCCTGCCACAATTCTAATATCACCACAAAACCCCCCCCCTTACCCGTACACTCTACAGTACAATTTATAACAACAATACAACAATACTACTTCCCTTACGATTTACCCAACCATACTCACCTTAGGAGCTGTCTCATGAACTTTTGTGCACTCATTCGCAAGAGTCATGCGACAGCTGTCGCACCCTCTCCCAGTGGATCCGCCCTCCCGTCCTTCTCTTGCTCTGTGCCCTCTAATCCTTACTTCTCTCCCTGCTTCCCCGCTTCCTTGTGCACACCTCCTCCTAGTCTCTTATAGGTAATGATACTCTCTGGACCCCTGTCATGCCCCCTCACGACCTGTTCTGCGCCCCTGCCCACAGGTCGTGGTGCTGTCGCCTTAGCAGTATTGGAGATATGGTCCTTCACCCTCTTCCCCTGAGAGTCTTCCAAAAGAACCACCCCTGATTCCCGTAGCTCTCGCACTTTCCACTTCGTTTTGCTCAGCCCGCACTCCAGTGTGTCCTTCCGCCGCTCTCTCAGGTACACCTCATCCCCTACTTGCACCCCTCTGTCCTTTCTCACGACTTCCTTCCCCCCTTGTCTCCTCTGACTGTACCGGCGAGCATCTCTCATCTGTGCTACCTCCAGGTTCTCCAGTGCAGCCGGCATGATCGACCGGAGATACTTCGCCCTGGCCGCTGCAACAGCCGCCCAGGTGTTGGGGTCTTCGTCTCCTACCGCCTCTCTTAAGACCTTAGGAGCTCCCACGGGTAGCAGGGGCTCCTTTCCGAACAGCAGCTGGTAAGGAGAGTAGCTTTTCAACGCTTGCTGTTTGCTGAAACGGTACCCTGCTGCCACCCACGGTAATTTCACGTCCCAATCCCGCCTCTCTTCTTCCTCACAATACTTCCTCAGGCCTTTCTTCAACGTCTGAATCATTCTCTCTGTCAGCCCGTCCGCTTGTGGATGATACCGTGAGGTCCTTCTGTGCACTATACCTACTTCCTTCAGTAATGCCTCAAACTCTCCCGCGAACTCTGTCCCTTGATCAGTCAATACTTCTCCACACGCCCCAAACCTGCATAGCACCTGCTGCACGAAAGCCTCTGCCACCGATGCGGCTGTCTTACGCGACAGAGCCGCCACTTCAATCCATTTGCTAGTGTGCTCTATCATCACCAGGATAAACTGCTTTCCTCTCCTGGACAAGGGCAGCTCCCCCGCCAAGTCCAACGACCATCGGTAGCCGATGCTCCCAATAGGCAGCGACTGTAGTTCTGCCTTACTCCTTTCCAGCACCGCCCGATTCCTACTGCAGGGCTCGCATTCTGCTACCTCCCTTTTTACCTGCCCTCTCATTCCTGGCCACCAATACATGGTTTGCAGCAGCTGGGTGGTCCTCTCCACGGCGTAGTGCCCGAACTTCGTATGGATCTGCAGTATCAAATCTCTCCTCTCTCCAGGTCTGGGTACGATTCTCCATCCATCCTCCGTTACCAACTGCAGCTGGTCATCCTGCCACCTGTAGTGCACGCCCCTAGCTCTCACCCTTTCCGGCACTTCCAGCCCCTCTGGTCCCACTCCTTGCACCCAGTCTAGTACTGGTTTATCCTCCCAAATCTCTGCGCACCCCTTCTCAGCATCCCTTCTCCTCCTCCACCCCTCTTTCTCCGCGGCTACTGCCGAGTATACCAGTGCTGCCTCGGGGGTCACTCCTTCCTTACTCGGTACCGCTGGCCCCTGCCTCGACAGGCCGTCGACATGCTGGAGCGTCTTCCCTGGGCGGTGTCTGACTTCGAAATCGAATTCTTGCAACCGCATTGCCCATCTTGCATTCCTTCCCCTCAGCGTTTGATTAGTCATCAGCCACAAGAGGGGCTGGTGATCTGTGATGAGGGTGAACTTTCTCCCTTGGAGGTAGGGTCTAAACAACTCCACTGCCCACACAGCTGCCAGCCCCTCTCCTTCGTAGGAGCTGTAGTTGCTTTCTGCTGGGCTGCAGGAACGACTGGCGTATGCCACCACCCGCTCCACTCCCTCTTCCAATTGGCACAGCACCGCTCCCAACCCCCCGCTACTCCAGTCAGTGTATAGCAGGAAGGGTTCATCTTGTCTTGGCAGCCGCAGTACAGGGGCGGTTTTTACTGCCTCCTTCAGCACCCTCCAGGCAGCTTCTTGCTCCTCCTTCCACTCCCAGGCGACATCCTCCCTCAGCAGCAAATTCAGTGGTTTCGCCGTCCTGCTGAAGTTTGGGATGAATTTCCTGTAGTAGTTTAAGAACCCTAGCTGCGCTCTCAGCATGCTTCGGTCGGTCGGCTGCTGGAGGCGGTCCACTACTTCCACCTTGGCTTGCTGGACCGTCATTCCGCCCTCTCCCACTTGGAACCCGAGATACCCTACCGTTCGTACCCCAAAGGTGCACTTGCCGGGATGGCAGGTCAGCCCAGCCGCCTCTATGGCCTTCAGTGTTTTGGCCACATCCTCCACATGCTGCTCCCCATCAGGGCTGTAGATGATCACATCATCTATGTAGCAGAGGGCGCACGGCAATTCCTGAAGCACCTGATCCATGACCCTCTGGAACCGGGCTGACGCATTCTTCAAACCGAAGGGCATGTAATTCCATTCATAAAGTTTGTCGGGACCATGAAAGGCCGTCTTGTGCTTATCTGCTTCTCGGATAGGTATCTGATTAAAGCCTTGTCTCAGGTCCAGCGTGGTATATACCCGTCCTTTCGACAACTCATCAAAGAGCTCTTCAACCACCGGCATGGGATAGCGGTCGCTCTTGGTCACCCTATTCAATCCCCTGTAATCACCGCACATCCGCCTTGATATCGTCTCTCCTGTTAGGTCCTTGCGAGCTGCCACCACGGTTGCTGCCGCGTACTCGGAGGTGGATTCCCGGATCAATCCCGCTTCTAACAGCTCTTTGCACTTCTCCTCCGCAATGTCTCGGTCTCCAGGACTCATCCGTCTCCGCCTCTGGTACACTGGCTCTTGGCTCTGCAGCTCTATGTCCATCACTGCCCGATTACAC